GCGCCCATAGAGATAGGCGCACATAGAGATAAGCGCCCCTAGAGATAGGCGCCTATAGAGATAGGCGCCGCTAAAAATAGGCGCCCATTAGAGATAGGCGCCCCTAGAGATAGGCGCCCATAGAGATAGGCGCCCATAGAGATAGGCGCCCCTAGAGATAGGCGCCCATTAGAGATAGGCGCCCATAGAGATAGGCGCCCCTAGAGATAGGCGCCCATAGAGTAGGCGCCACTAGAGATAGGTGCCCCTAGAGATAGGCGCCCATAGAGATAGGCGCCCGTAGAGATAGGCGCCCATAGAGATAGGCGCCCATAGAGATAGGCGCCCATAAAGATAGGCGCCCCTAGAGATAGGCGCACCATAGAGATAGGCACCCCTAGAGATAGCCGCCCCTAGAGATAGGCACCCCTAGAGATAGGCGCCCCTAGAGATAGGCGCCCCTGGAGATAGGCGCCACTAGAGATAGGTGCCCCTAGAGGTAGGCCGCCACCTAGAGATGGGCGCCCATAGAGATAGGCGCTTCTAGAGATTGGCGCCCCTAAAGAGAGGCGCCCATAGAGATAGGCGCCTATAGAGATATTGTGCCCCTAGAGATAAGCGCCCCTAGAGATAGACGCCCATAGAGATAGGCGCCCCTAGAGATAGGCGCACATAGAGATAGGCGCCCATAGAGATTGGCGCCCAAAGAGATAGGCGCCTCTAGAGATTGGCGCCCCTAAAGAGAGGCACCCATAGAGATAGGCGCACATAGAGATAAGCGCCCCTAGAGATAGGCGCCGCTAAATGATAGGCGCCCATAGAGATAGGCGCCCCTAGAGATAGGCGCCCATAGAGATAGGCGCCCATAGAGATAGGCGCCCCTAGAGATAGGCGCCCCTAGAGATAGGCGCCCATAGAGATAGGCGCCCAAAGAGATAGGCACTTATAGAGATAGGCGCCCATAGAGATAGGCGCCCATAGAGATAGGCGCCCATAGAGATAGGCGCCCCTAGAGATAGGTGCCCTAGAGATAGGCGCCACTAGAGTAGGCGCCCCTAGAGATAGGCGCCGCTAAGATAGGCGCCCATAGGAGACTAGGCGCCCCTAGAGATAGGCGCCCATGAGAGATAGTCGCCCACAGAGATATGCGCCCCTAGAGATAGGCGCCCCTAGAGATAGGCGACCATAGAGAATAGGCGCCCAAAGAGATAGGCACCCAAAGAGATAGGCGCCCATAGAGATAGGCGCCCATAAGAGATAGGCGCCCATAGAGATAGGCGCCCCTAGAGATAGGCGCCCATAGAGATAGGCGCCACTAGAGATAGAGCGCCCCTAGAGATAGGCGCCCATAGAGATAGTGCGCTCGTTAGAGATAGGCGCCCATAGAGATATGCGCCCATAGAGATAGGCGCCCATAGAGATAGGCGCCCTAGAGATAGCGACCCTAGAGATAGGCGCCCATAGAGATAGGCCCAAAGAGATAGGCGCCCATAGAGATAGGCGCCCCTAGAGATAGGCGCCCATAGAGATAGGCGCCCCTAGAGATAGCCGCCCCTAGAGATAGGCATCCCTAGAGATAGGCGCCCCTAGAGATAGGCGCCCCTGGAGATAGGCGCCACTAGAGATAGGTGCCCCTGGAGGTAGGCGCCCCTAGAGATGGGCGCCACATAGAGATAGGGCGCCTCTAGAAATTGGCACCCCTAAAGAGAGGCGCCCATAGAGATAGGCGCCTATAGAGATATGTGCCCCTAGAGATAGGGCGCCCCTAGAGATAGACGCCCCATAGAGATAGGCGCCCCTAGAGATAGGCGCCCATAGAGATAGGCGCCATTAGAGATAGGCGCCCCTAGAGATAGGCGCCCATAGAGATAGGCGCCCGTAGAGATAGGCGCCCATAGAGATAGGCGCCATAGAGATAGGCGCCCCATAGAGATAGGCGCCCCTAGAGATAGGCGCCCATAGAGATAGGCGCCCCTAGAGATAGCCGCCCATAGAGATAGGCACCCCTAGAGATAGGCGCCCATAGAGATAGGCGCACTAGAGATAGGCGCCCCTGGAGATAGGCGCCACTAGAGATAGGTGCCCCTAGAGGTAGCGCCCCCTAGAGATGGGCGCCCATAGAGATAGGCGCCTCTAGAGATTGGCGCCCCTAAAGAGAGGCGCCCATAGAGATAGGGCGCCTATAGAGATATGTGCCCCTAGAGATAGGCGCCCCTAGAGAGATAGACGCCCATAGAGATAGGCGCCCCTAGAGATAGGCGCCCATAGAGATAGGCGCCCATAGAGATAGGCGCCCCTAGAGATAGGCGCACATAGAGATAGGCGCCCATAGAGATTGGCGACCCAAAAGAGATAGGCGCCCTCTAGAGATTGGCGCCCCTAAAGGGGGGGCGCCCATATAGATAGGCGCACATAGAGATAAGCGCCCCTAGAGATAGGCGCCTATAGAGATAGGCGCCGCTAAAGATAGGCGCCCATAGAGATAGGCGCCCCCTAGAGATAGGCGCCCATAGAGATAGGCGCCCATAGAGATAGGCGCCCATAGGGATAGGCGCCCCTAGAGATAGGCGCCCATAGAGATAGGCGCCCAAAAGAGATTGGCACCCATAGATATAGGCGCCCATAGAGATAGGCGCCCATAGAGATAGGCGCCCATAGAGATAGGCGCCCCTAGAGATAGGTGCCCATAGAGATAGGCGCCACTAGAGATAGGCGCCCCTAGAGATAGGCGCCGCTAAAGATAGGCGCCCATAGAGATAGGCGCCCCTAGAGATAGGCGCCCATAGAGATAGGCGACCATAGAGATAGGCGCCCCTAGAGATAGGCACCCCTAGAGATAGGCGCCCATAGAGATAGGCGCCCAAAGAGATAGGCACCCATAGAGATAGGCGCCCCTAGAGATAGGCGCCGCCTAAAGATAGGCGCCCATAGAGATAGGTGCCCCTAGAGATAGGCGCCCATAGAGATAGGCGCCCCTTAGAGATAGGCGCCCATAGAGATAGGCGCCCATAGAGATAGGCGCCCCTAGAGATAGGCACCCCTAGAGATAGGCGCCCATAGAGATAGGCGCCAAAGAGATAGGCACCCATAGAGATAGGCGCCAATAGAGAGTAGGCGCCCATAGAGATAGGCGCCCCTAGAGATAGGCGCCCATAGAGATAGGCGCCCGTAAGAATAGGCGCCCATAGAGATAGGCGCCCATAGAAGATAGGCGCCCCTAGAAGATAGGCACCCCTAGAGATAGGCGCCCATAGAGATAGGCGCCCAAAGAGATAGGCACCCATAGAGATAGGCGCCCATAGAGATAGGCGCCCATAGAGATAGGCGCCAATAGAGATTAACCGCCCCATAGAGATAGGCGCCCATAGAGAAAGGCGCCACTAGAGATAGGCGCCCATAGAGATAGGCGCCCGTAGAGATAGGCCGCCCATAGAGATAGGCGCCCCATAGAGATAGGCGCCCATAGAGATAGGCGCCCCCTAGAGATAGGCGCCCATAGAGATAGGCGCCCATAGAGATAGGCGCCCAAAGAGATAGGCGCCCATAGAGATAGGCGCCCCTAGAGATAGGCGCCCATAGAGATAGGCGCCCCTAGAGATAGCCGCCCCTAGAGATAGGCAACCCTAGAGATAGGCGCCCCTAGAGATAGGCGCCCCTGGAGATAGGCGCCACTAGAGATAGGTGCCCCTAGAGGTAGGCGCCCCTAGAGATGGGCGCCCATAGAGATAGGCGCCTCTAGAGATTGGCGCCCCTAAAGAGAGGCGCCCATAGAGATAGGCGCCTATTGAGATATGTGCCCCTAGAGATAGGCGCCCCTAGAGATAGACGCCCATAGAGATAGACGCCCCTAGAGATAGGCGCCCATAGAGATAGGCGCCCATAGAGATAGGCGCCCCTAGAGATAGGCGCCCATAGAGATAGGCGCCCATAGAGATTGGCGCCCAAAGAGACAGGCGCCTCTAGAGATTGGCGCCCCCTAAAGAGAGGCGCCCATAGAGATAGGCGCACATAGAGATAAGCGCCCCTAGAGATAGGCGCCTATAGAGATAGGCGCCGCTAAAGATAGGCGCCCATAGAGATAGGCGCCACTAGAGATAGGCGCCCATAGAGATAGGCGCCCATAGAGATAGGCGCCCCTAGAGATAGGCGCCCCTAGAGATAGGCGCCCCTGGAGATAGGCGCCACTAGAGATAGGTGCCCCTAGAGGTAGGCGCCCCTAGAGATGGGCGCCCATAGAGGATAGGCGCCTCTAGAGATTGGCGCCCCTAAAGAGAGGCGCCCATAGAGATAGGCGCCTATAGAGATATGTGCCCCTAGAGATAGGCGCCCCTAGAGATAGACGCCCATAGAGATCGGCGCCCCTAGAGATAGGCGCCCATAGAGATAGGCGCCCATAGAGATAGGCGCCCCTAGAGATAGGCGCACATAGAGATAGGCGCCCATAGAGATTGGCGCCCAAAGAGATAGGCGCCTCTAGAGATTGGCGCCCCTAAAGAGAGGCGCCCATAGAGATAGGCGCACATAGAGATAAGCGCCCCTAGAGATAGGCGCCTATAGAGATAGGCGCCGCTAAAGATAGGCGCCCATAGAGATAGGCGCCCCTAGATATAGGCGCCCATAGAGATAGGCGCCCATAGAGATAGGCACCCATAGGGATAGGCGCCCCTAGAGATAGGCGCCCATAGAGATAGGCGCCCAAAGAGATTGGCACCCATAGATATAGGCGCCCATAGAGATAGGCGCCCATAGAGATAGGCGCCCATAGAGATAGGCGCCCCTAGAGATAGGTGCCCATAGAGATAGGCGCCACTAGGAGAGATAGGGCGCCCCTAGAGATAGGCGCCGCTAAAGATAGGCGCCCATAGAGATAGGCGCCCCTAGAGATAGGCGCCCATAGAGATAGGCGCCCATAGAGATAGGCGCCCCTAGAGATAGGCACCCCTAGAGATAGGCGCCCATAGAGATAGGCGCCCAAAGAGATAGGCACCCATAGAGATAGGCGCCCCTAGAGATAGGCGCCGCTAAAGATAGGCGCCCATAGAGATAGGTGCCCCTAGAGATAGGCGCCCATAGAGATAGGCGCCCCTAGAGATAGGCGCCCATAGAGATAGGCGCCCATAGAGATAGGCGCCCCTAGAGATAGGCACCCCTAGAGATAGGCGCCCCATAGAGATAGGCGCCCAAAGAGATAGGCACCCATAGAGATAGGCGCCCATAGGAGATAGGCGCCCATAGAGATAGGCGCCCCTAGAGATTGGCGCCCCTAAAGAGAGGCGCCCATAGAGATAGGCGCCTATTGAGATATGTGCCCCTAGAGATAGGCGCCCCTAGAGATAGACGCCCATAGAGATAGACGCCCCTAGAGATAGGCGCGCATAGAGATAGGCGCCCATAGAGATAGGCGCCCCTAGAGATAGGCGCCCATAGAGATAGGCGCCCATAGAGATTGGCGCCCAAAGAGATAGGCGCCTCTAGGAGATTGGCGCCCCTAAAGAGAGGCGCCCATAGAGATAGGCGCACATAGAGATAAGCGCCCCTAGAGATAGGCGCCTATAGAGATAGGCCGCCGCTAAAGATAGGCGCCCATAGAGATAGGCGCCCCTAGAGATAGGCGCCCCCATAGAGATAGGCGCCCATAGAGATAGGCGCTCCCTAGAGATAGGCGCCCCTAGAGATAGGCGCCCATAGAGATAGGCGCCCAAAGAGATAGGCACCATAGAGATAGGCGCCCATAGAAGATAGGCGCCCATAGAGATAGGCGCCCATAGAGATAGGCGCCCTAGAGATAGGTGCCTATAGAGATAGGCGCCACTAGAGATAGGCGCCCCTAGAGATAGGCGCCGCTAAAGATAGGCGCCCATAGAGATAGGCGCCCCTAGAGATTAGGCGCCCTAGAGATAGGCGCCCATAGAGATAGGCGCCCCTAGAGATAGGCGCCCCTAGAGATAGGCGCCCCATAGAGATAGGCGCCCAAAGAGATAGGCACCCATAGAGATAGTCGCCCATAGAGATAGGCGCCCATAGAGATAGGCGCCCATAGAGATAGGCGCCCCTAGAGATAGGCCCACATAGAGATAGGCGCCCAAAGAGATAGGCAACCCATAGGATAGGCGCCCATAGAGATAGGCGCCCACAGAGATAGGCGCCCAAAGAGATAGGCACCCATAGGGATAGGCGCCCATAGAGATAGGCGCCCATAGAGATAGGCCGCACATAGAGATAGGCGCCCCTAGAGATAGGCGCCCATAGAGATAGGCGCCACTAGAGATAGGCGCCTCTAGAGATAGGCGCCCATAGAGATAGGCGCCCAAAGAGATAGGCACCCATAGAGATAGGCGCCCATAGAGATAGGCGCCTATAGAGATAGGCGCCCATAGAGATAGGCGCCCCTAGAGATAGGCGCCCATAGAGATAGGCGCCCCTAGAGATAGCCGCCCCTAGAGATAGGCAACCCTAGAGATAGGCGCCCCTAGAGATAGGCGCCCCTGGAGATAGGCACCCATAGAGATAGGCGCCCATAGAGATAGGCGCCCATAGGGATAGGCGCCCCTAGAGATAGGCGCCCATAGAGATAGGCGCCCAAAGAGATAGGCACCCATAGATATAGGCGCCCATAGAGATAGGCGCCCATAGAGATAGGCGCCCATAGAGATAGGCGCCCCTAGAGATAGGTGCCCATAGAGATAGGCGCTACTAGAGATAGGCGCCCCTAGAGATAGGCGCCGCTAAAGATAGGCGCCCATAGAGATAGGCGCCCCTAGAGATAGGCGCCCATAGAGATAGGGCGCCTCTAGAGATTGGCGCCCCTAAAAGAGAGGCGCCCATAGAGATAGGCGCACATAGAGATAAGCGCCCCTAGAGATAGGCGCCTATAGAGATAGGCGCCGCTTAAAGATAGGCGCCCATAGAGATAGGCGCCCCTAGAGATAGGCGCCCATAGAGATAGGCGCCCATAGAGATAGGCGCCCATAGAGATAGGCGCCCATAGAGATAGGCGCCCATAGAGATAGGCGCCCATAGAGATAGGCGCCCATAGAGATAGGCGCCTATTGAGATATGTGCCCCTAGAGATAGGCGCCCCTAGAGATAGACGTCCATAGAGATAGACGCCCCTAGAGATAGGCGCCCATAGAGATAGGCGCCCATAGAGATAGGCGCCCCTAGAGATAGGCGCCCATAGAGATAGGCGCCCATAGAGATTGGCGCCCAAAGAGATAGGCGCCTCTAGAGATTGGCGCCCCTAAAGAGAGGCGCCCATAGAGATAGGGCGCACATAGAGATAAGCGCCCCTAGAGATAGGCGTCTATAGAGATAGGCGCCGCTAAAGATAGGCGCCCATAGAGATAGGCGCCCCTAGAGATAGGCGCCCATAGAGATAGGCGCCCATAGAGATAGGCCCCCCTAGAGATAGGCGCCCCTAGAGATAGGCGCCCATAGAGATAGGCGCCCAAAGAGATAGGCACCCATAGATATAGGCGCCCATAGAGATAGGCGCCCATAGAGATAGGCGCCCATAGAGATAGGCGCCCCTAGAGATAGGTGCCCATAGAGATAGGCGCCACTAGAGATAGGTGCCCCTAGAGATAGGCGCCGCTAAAAGATAGGCGCCCATAGAGATAGGCACCCCTAGAGATAGGCGCCCATAGAGATAGGCTCCTCTAGAGATTGGCGCCCCTAAAGAGAGGCGCCCATAGAGATAGGCGCACATAGAGATAAGCGCCCCTAGAGATAGGCGCCTATAGAGATAGGCGCCGCTAAAGATAGGCGCCCATAGAGATAGGCGCCCCTAGAGATAGGCGCCCATAGAGATAGGCGCCCATAGGGATAGGCGCCCATAGGGATAGGCGCCCCTAGAGATAGGCGCCCATAGAGATAGGCGCCCAAAGAGATAGGCACCCATAGAGATAGGCGCCCATAGAGATAGGCGCCCATAGAGATAGGCGCCCATAGAGATAGGCGCCCCTAGAGATCGGTGCCTATAGAGATAGGCGCCACTAGAGATAGGCGCCCCTACAGATAGGCGCCGCTAAAGATAGGCGCCCATAGAGATAGGCGCCCCTAGAGATAGGCGCCCATAGAGATAGGCGCCCATAGAGATAGGCGCCCCTAGAGATAGGCGCCCCTAGAGATAGGCGCCCATAGAGATAGGCGCCCAAAGAGATAGGCAACCCATAGATATAGGCGCCCATAGAGATAGGCGCCCATAGAGATAGGCGCCCATAGAGATAGGCGCCCCTAGAGATAGGTGCCCATAGAGATAGGCGCCACTAGAGATAGGCGCCCCTAGAGATAGGCGCCGCTAAAGATAGGCGCCCATAGAGATAGGCGCCCCTAGAGATAGGCGCCTATAGAGATAGGCGCCCCTAGAGATTGGCGCCCCTAAAGAGAGGCGCCCATAGAGATAGGCGCACATAGAGATAAGCGCCCCTAGAGATAGGCGCCTATAGAGATAGGCGCCGCTAAAGATAGGCGCCCATAGAGATAGGCGCCCCTTGAGATAGGCGCCCATAGAGATAGGCGCCCATAGAGATAGGCGCCCATAGGGATAGGCGCCCCTAGAGATAGGCGCCCATAGAGATAGGCGCCCAAAGAGATAGGCACCCATAGAGATAGGCGCCCATAGAGATAGGCGCCCATAGAGATAGGCGCCCCTAGAGATAGGCGCCCATAGAGATAGGCGCCCATAGAGATAGGCGCCCCTAGAGATAGGCGCCCCTAGAGATAGGCGCCCATAGAGATAGGCGCCCAAAGAGATAGGCACCCATAGATATAGGCGCTCATAGAGATAGGCGCCCATAGAGATAGGCGCCCATAGAGATAGGCGCCCCTAGAGATAGGTGCCCATAGAGATAGGCGCCACTAGAGATAGGCGCCCCTAGAGATAGGCGCCGCTAAAGATAGGCGCCCATAGAGATAGGCGCCCCTAGAGATAGGCGCCCATAGAGATAGGCGCCTCTAGAGATTGGCGCCCCTAAAGAGAGGCGCCCATAGAGATAGGCGCACATAGAGATAAGCGCCCCTAGAGATAGGCGCCTATAGAGATAGGCGCCGCTAAGATAGGCGCCCATAGAGATAGGCGCCCCTAGAGATAGGCGCCCATAGAGATAGGCGCCCATAGGGATAGGCGCCCATAGGGATAGGCGCCCCTAGAGATAGGCGCCCATAGAGATAGGCGCCCAAAGAGATAGGCACCCATAGAGATAGGCGCCCATAGAGATAGGCGCCCATAGAGATAGGCGCCCATAGAGATAGGCGCCCCTAGAGATAGGTGCCTATAGAGATAGGCGCCACTAGAGATAGGCGCCCCTACAGATAGGCGCAGCTAAAGATAGGCGCCCATAGAGATAGGCGCCCCTAGAGATAGGCGCCCATAGAGATTAGGCGCCCATAGAGATAGGCGCCCCTAGAGATAGGGCGCCCCTAGAGATAGGCGCCCATAGAGATAGGCGCCCAAAGAGATAGGCACCCATAGATATAGGCGCCCATAGAGATAGGCGCCCATAGAGATAGGCGCCCATAGAGATAGGCTCCCCTAGAGATAGGTGCCCATAGAGATAGGCGCCACTAGAGATAGGCGCCCCTAGAGATAGGCGCCGCTAAAGATAGGCGCCCATAAGAGATAGGCGCCCCTAGAGATAGGCGCCCATAGAGATAGGCGCCCCTAGAGATTGGCGCCCCTAAAGAGAGGCGCCCATAGAGATAGGCGCACATAGAGATAAGCGCCCCTAGAGATAGGCGCCTATAGAGATAGGCGCCGCTAAAGATAGGCGCCCATAGAGATAGGCGCCCCTAGAGATAGGCGCCCATAGAGAATAGGCGCCCATAGAGATAGGCGCCCATAGGGATAGGCACCCCTAGAGATAGGCGCCCATAGAGATAGGCGCCCAAAGAGATAGGCACCCATAGAGATAGGCGCCTATAGAGATAGGCGCCCCTAGAGATAGGCGCCTATAGAGATAGGCGCCGCTAAAGATAGGCGCCCATAGAGATAGGCGCCTATAGAGATAGGCGCCTATAGAGATAGGCGCCCCTAGAGATAGGCGCCTATAGAGATAGGCGCCTATAGAGATAGGCGCCTATAGAGATAGGAGGCCCCTAGAGATAGGCGCCCCTAGAGATAGGCGCCTATAGAGATAGGCGCGCTAAGATAGGCGCCCATAGAGATAGGCGCCCCTAGAGATAGGCGCCCATAGAGATAGGCGCCCATAGAGATAGGCGCCCATAGGGATAGGCACCCCTAGAGATAGGCGCCCATAGAGATAGGCGCCCAAAGAGATAGGCACCCATAGAGATAGGCGCCATAGAGATAGGCGCCCATAGAGATAGGCGCCCATAGAGATAGGCGCCCCTAGAGATAGGTGCCTATAGAGATAGGCGCCACTAGAGATAGGCGCCCCTACAGATAGGTCGCCGCTAAAGATAGGCGCCCCATAGAGATAGGCGCCCCTAGAGATAGGCGCCCCATAGAGATAGGCGCCCATAGAGATAGGCGCCCCTAGAGATAGGCGCCCTAGAGATAGGCCCCCATAGAGATAGGCGCCCAAAGAGATAGGCACCCATAGAGATAGGCGCCCATAGAGATAGGCGCCCATAAAGATAGCGCCCATAGAGATAGGCGCCCCTAGAGATAGGCGCCCATAGAGATAGGCGACCAAAGAGATAGGCACCCATAGGGATAGGCGCCCATAGAGATAGGCGCCCATAGAGATAGGCGCCCAAGAGATAGGCACCCATAGGGATAGGCGCCCATTAGAGATAGGCGCCCATAGAGATAGGCGCACATAGAGATAGGCGCCCCTAGAGATAGGCGCCCATAGAGATAGGCGCCCATAGAGATAGGCGCCCCTAGAGATAGGCGCCTATAGAGTTAGGCGCCGCTAAAGATAGGCGCCCATAGAGATAGGCGCCCCTAGAGATAGGCACCCCATAGAGATAGGCGCCCATAAGAGATAGGCGACCCCTAGAGATAGCCACCCCTAGAGATAGGCGCCCATAGAGATAGGCGCCCAAAGAGATAGGCACCCATAGAGATAGGCGCACATAGAGATAGGCGCCCATAGAGATAGGCGCCCATAGAGATAGGCGCCCCCTAGAGATAGGCGCCCATAGAGATAGGCGCCACTAGAGATTAGGTGCCCCTAGAGATAGGCGTCCATAGAGATAGGCGCTCGTAGAGATAGGCGCCCCATAGGAGATAGGCGCCCATAGAGATAGGCGCCCATAGAGATAGGCGCCCCTAGAGATAGGCGCCCATAGAGATAGGCGCCCCTAGAGATAGCCGCCCCTAGAGATAGGCACCCCTAGAGATAGGCGCCCCTAGAGATAGGCGCCCCTGGAGATAGGCTCCACTAGAGATAGGTGCCCCTAGAGGTAGGCGCCCCTAGAGATGGGCGCCCATAGAGATAGGCGCCTCTAGAGATTGGCGCCCCTTAAAGAGAGGCGCCCATAGAGATAGGGCGCCTATAGAGATATGTGCCCCTGGAGATAGTCGCCCCTAGAGATAGACGCCCATAGAGATAGGCGCCAATAGAGATAGGCGCCCATAGAGATAGGCGCCCATAGAGATAGGCGCCCCTAGAGATAGGCGCACATAGAGATAGGCGCCCATAGAGATTGGAGCCCAAAGATATAGGCGCCTCTAGAGATTGGCGCCCCTAAAGAGAGGCACCCATAGAGATAGGCGCACATAGAGATAAGCGCCCCTAGAGATAGGCGCCTATAGAGATAGGCGCCGCTAAAGATAGGCGCCCATAGAGATAGGCGCCCCTAGAGATAGGCGCCCATAGAGATAGGCGCCCATAGAGATAGGCGCCCCTAGAGATAGGCGCCCCTAGAGATAGGCGCCCATAGAGATAGGCGCCCAAAGAGATAGGCACTTATAGAGATAGGCGCCCATAGAGATAGGCGCCCATAGAGATAGGCGCCCATAGAGATAGGCGCCCCTAGAGAGAAGTGCCCATAGAGATAGGCGCCACTAGAGATAGGCGCCCCTAGAGATAGGCGCCGCTAAAGATAGGCGCCCATAGAGATAGGCGCCCCTAGAGATAGGCGCCCATAGAGATAGGCGCCCATAGAGATAGGCGCCCCTAGAGATAGGCGCCACTAGAGATAGGCGCCCCTAGAGATAGGCGCCGCTAAAGATAGGCGCCCATAGAGAAAGGCGCCCCTAGAGATAGGCGCCCATAGAGATAGGCGCCCATAGAGATAGGCGCCCCTAGAGATAGGCGCCCCTAGAGATAGGCGCCCATAGAGATAGGCGCCCAAAGAGATAGGCACCCATAGAGATAGGCGCCCATAGAGATAGGCGCCCATAGAGATAGGCGCCCATAGAGATAGGCGCCCCTAGAGATAGGCGCCCATAGAGATAGGCGCCACTAGAGATAGGCGCCCCTAGAGATAGGCGCCCATAGAGATAGGCGCCCGTAGTGATAGGCGCCCATAGAGATATGCGCCCATAGAGATAGGCGCCCATAGAGATAGGCGCCCCTAGAAATAGGCGCCCCTAGAGATAGGCGCCCATAGAGTTAGGCGCCCAAAGAGATAGGCGCCCATAGAGATAGGCGCCCCTAGAGATAGGCGCCCATAGAGATAGGCGCCCCTAGAGATAGCCGCCCCTAGAGATAGGCCATCCCTAGAGATAGGCGCCCCTAGAGATAGGGGCCCCTGGAGATAGGCGCCAATAGAGATAGGTGCCCCTAGAGGTAGGCGCCCCTAGAGATGGGCGCCCATAGAGATAGGCGCCTCTAGAAATTGGCGCCCCTAAAGAGAGGCGCCCATAGAGATAGGCGCCTATAGAGATATGTTGCCCCTAGAGATAGGCGCCCCTAGAGATAGACGCCCATAGAGATAGGCGCCCATAGAGATATGCGCCCATAGAGATAGGCGCCCCTAGAGATAGGCGCCCCTAGAGATAGGCGCCCATAGAGATAGGCGCCTAAAGAGATAGGCACCTCTATAGATTGGCGCCCTAAAGAGAGGCAGCCATAGAGATAGGCGCATATAGAGATAGGCGCCCCTAGAGATATGCGCCCTTAGAGATAGGCGCTTATAAGGATAGGCGCCGCTAAAGATAGGCGCCTATAGAGATAGGCGCCCCTAGAGATAGGCGCCCATAGAGATAGGCGCCCATAGAGATAGGCGCCCCTAGAGATAGGCGCCCCTAGAGATAGACGCCCATAGAGATAGGCACCCAAAGAGATAGGCGCCCATAGAGATAGGCGCCCATAGAGATAGACGCTCATAGAGATAGGCGCCCCTAGAGATAGGCGCCCATAGAGATATGCGCCCCTAGAGATAGGCGCCCCTAGAGATAGGCGCCCCTAGAGATAGGCGCCCATAGAGATAGGCGCCCAAAGAGATAGGCGCCCATAGAGATAGGCGCCCCTAGAGATAGGCGCCCAAAGAGATAGGCACCCCTAGAGATAGCCGCCCCTAGAGATAGGCACCCCTAGAGATAGGCGTCCCTAGAGGTATGCGCCCCTGGAGATAGGCGCCTCTAGAGATAGGTGCCCCTAGATGTAGGCGCCCCTAGAGATGGGCGCCCATAGTGATAGGCGCCTCTAGAGATAGGTGCCCCTAGAGATAGGCGTCCATAGAGATAGGCGCCCATAGAGATAGGCGCCACTAGAGATAGGTGCCCCTAGAGATAGGCGTCCATAGAGATAGGCGCTCGTAGAGATAGGCGCCCATAGAGATAGGCGCCCATAGAGATAGGCGCCCATAGAGATAGGCGCCCCTAGAGATAGGCGCCCATAGAGATAGGCGCCCCTAGAGATAGCCGCCCCTAGAGATAGGCACCCCTAGAGATAGGCGCCCCTAGAGATAGGCGCCCCTGGAGATAGGCGCCACTAGAGATAGGTGCCCCTAGAGGTAGGCGCCCCTAGAGATGGGCGCCCATAGAGATAGGCGCCTCTAGAGATTGGCGCCCCTAAAGAGAGGCGCCCATAGAGATAGGCGCCTATAGAGATATGTGCCCCTGGAGATAGGCGCCCCTAGAGATAGACGCCCATAGAGATAGGCGCCCCTAGAGATAGGCGCCCATAGAGATAGGCGCCCATAGAGATAGGCGCCCCTAGAGATAGGCGCACATAGAGATAGGCGCCCATAGAGATTGGAGCCCAAAGATATAGGCGCCTCTAGAGATTGGCGCCCCTAAAGAGAGGCACCCATAGAGATAGGCGCACATAGAGATAAGCGCCCCTAGAGATAGGCGCCTATAGAGATAGGCGCCGCTAAAGATAGGCGCCCATAGAGATAGGCGCCCCTAGAGATAGGCGCCCATAGAGATAGGCGCCCATAGAGATAGGCGCCCCTAGAGATAGGCGCCCCTAGAGATAGGCGCCCATAGAGATAGGCGCCCAAAGAGATAGGCACTTATAGAGATAGGCGCCCATAGAGATAGGCGCCCATAGAGATAGGCGCCCATAGAGATAGGCGCCCCTAGAGATAAGTGCCCATAGAGATAGGCGCCACTAGAGATAGGCGCCCCTAGAGATAGGCGCCGCTAAAGATAGGCGCCCATAGAGATAGGCGCCCCTAGAGATAGGCGCCCATAGAGATAGGCGCCCATAGAGATAGGCGCCCCTAGAGATAGGCGCCACTAGAGATAGGCGCCCCTAGAGATAGGCGCCGCTAAAGATAGGCGCCCATAGAGAAAGGCGCCCCTAGAGATAGGCGCCCATAGAGATAGGCGCCCATAGAGATAGGCGCCCCTAGAGATAGGCGCCCCTAGAGATAGGCGCCCCTAGAGATAGGCGCCCAAAGAGATAGGCACCCATAGAGGATAGGCGCCCATAGAGATAGGCGCCCATAGAGAAAGGCGCCCATAGAGATAGGCGCCCCTAGAGATAGGCGCCCATAGATGATAGGCGCCACTAGAGATAGGCGCCCCTAGAGATAGGCGCCCATAGAGATAGGCGCCCGTAGTGATAGGCGCTCCATGAGAGATATGCGCCCATAGAGATAGGCGCCCATAGAGATAGGCGCCCCTAGAAATAGGCGCCCCTAGAGATAGGCGCCCATAGAGTTAGGCGCCCAAAGAGATAGGCGCCCATAGAGATAGGCGCCCATAGAGAATAGGCGCCCATAGAGATAGGCGCCCCTAGAGATAGCCGCCCCTAGAGATAGGCATCCCTAGAGATAGGCGCCCCTAGAGATAGGCGCCCCTGGAGATAGGCGCCACTAGAGATAGGTGCCCCTAGAGGTAGGCGCCCCTAGAGATGGGCGCCCATAGAGATAGGCGCCTCTAGAAATTGGCGCCCCTAAAGAGAGGCGCCCATAGAGATAGGCGCCTATAGAGATATGTGCCCCTAGAGATAGGCGCCCCTAGAGATAGACGCCCATAGAGATAGGCGCCCATAGAGATATGCGCCCATAGAGATAGGCGCCCCTAGAGATAGGCGCCCCTAGAGATAGGCGCCCATAGAGATAGGCGCCTAAAGAGATAGGCACCTCTATAGATTGGCGCCCCTAAAGAGAAGCAGCCATAGAGATAGGCGCACATAGAGATATGCGCCCCTAGAGATATGCGCCCTTAGGAGATAGGCGCTTATAAAGATAGGCGCCGCTAAAGATAGGCGCCTATAGAGATAGGCGCCCCTAGAGATAGGCGCCCATAGAGATAGGCGCCCATAGAGATAGGCGCCCCTAGAGATAGGCGCCCCTAGAGATAGACGCCCATAGAGATAGGCACCCAAAGAGATAGGCGCCCATAGAGATAGGCGCCCATAGAGATAGACGCTCATAGAGATAGGCGCCCCTAGAGATAGGCGCCCATAGAGATATGCGCCCCTAGAGATAGGCGCCCCTAGAGATAGGCGCCCCTAGAGATAGGCGCCCATAGAGATATGCGCCCAAAGAGATAGGCGCCCATAGAGATAGGCGCCCCTAGAGATAGGCGCCCAAAGAGATAGGCACCCCTAGAGATAGCCGCCCCTAGAGATAGGCACCCCTAGAGATAGGCGTCCCTAGAGGTATGCGCCCCTGGAGATAGGCGCCTCTAGAGATAGGTGCCCTAGATGTAGGCGCCCCTAGAGATGGGCGCCCATAGTGATAGGCGCCTCTAGAGATTTGCGCCCTAAAGAGACGCGCCCATAGAGATAGGCGCCCATAGAGATAGGCGCCCCTAGAGATAGGCGCCCTTAGAGATAAACACCCATAGAGATAGGCGCCCCTAGAGATAGGCGCCCATAGAGATAGACGCCCACAGAGATAGGCGCCCCTGGAGATAGGCCGCCCCTAGAGATAGGGGCTCATATTGATAGACGCCCAAAGAGATAGGTGCCCATAGAGATAGGAGCCCCTAGAGATAGGCGCCTATAGAGATAGGCGCCCCTAGAGATAGCCGCCCATAGCGATAGGCACCCCTAGAGATAGGCGCCCCTAGAGATAGGCGCCCCTGGAGATAGGCGCCCCTAGAGATAGGCGCCCCTAGAGATAGGCGCCCATACAGATAGGCGCCCAAAAAGATAAGCGCCTCTAGAGATTGGCGCCCCTAAAGAGAGGCGCCCATAGAGATAGGCGCACATGGAGATAGGCGCCCCTAGAGATAGGCGCCCCTAGAGATAGGCGCCTATAGAGGATGGGCGCTGCTAGAGATAGACGCCCATAGAGATAGGCGCCCCTAGAGATAGGCGCCCATAGAGATAGGCGCCCATAGAGATAGGCACCCCTAGAGATAGGCGCCCCTAGAGATAGGCGCCCATAGAGATAGGCGCCCAAAGAGATAGGCGCCCTTAGAGGTAGGCGCCCATAGAGATAGGCGCCCATAGAGATAGGCGCCCATAGAGATAGGCGCCCCTAGAGATAGGCGCCCATAGAGATATGCGCCCCTAGAGATAGGCCGCCCCTAGAGATAGGCGCCCAAAGAGATAGGCGCCCATAGAGATAGGCGCCCCTAGAGATAGCCGCCCCTAGAGATAGGCACCCCTAGAGATAGGCGCCCCTAGAGATAGGCGCCCCTGGAGATAGGCGGCCCTAGAGATAGGTGCCCCTAGAGATAGCCGCCCCTAGAGAAAGGCACCCCTAGAGATAGGCGCAACTAGAGATAGGCGCCCCTAAAGATAGGCGCCCCTAGAGATAGGTGCCCCTAGAGGTAGGTGCCCCTAGAGATGGGCGACCATAGAGATAGGCACCTCTAGTGATTGGCGCCCCTAAAGAGAGGCGCCCATAGAGATAGGCGCCCGTATAGATAGGCGCCCCTAGAGATAGGCGCCCCTTGAGATAGACGCCCATAGAGATAGGCGCCCCTAGAGATAGGCGCCCATAGAGATAGGTGCCCATAGAGATAGGCGCCCATAGAGATAGGCGCCCCTAGAGATAGGCGCCCAAAGGGATAGGCACCTCTAGAGATTGGCGCCCCTAAAGAGAGGCGCCCATAGAGATAGGCGCACATAGAGATAGGCGCCCCTAGTGATAGGCGCCCCTAGAGATAGGCGCCGCTAAAGATAGGCGCCCTAGAGATAGGCGCCCCAAGAGATAGGCGCCCATAGAGATAGGCGCCCATAGAGATAGGCGCCCAAAGAGATAGTCGCCTATCGAGATAGGCGCCCCTAGAGATAGGCGCCCATAGAGATATGCGCCCCTAGAGATAGCCGCCCCTAGAGATAGGCACCCCTAGAGATAGGCGCCCCTAGAGATAGGCGCCCCTCGGGATAGACGCCCCTAGAGATACGTGCCCCTAGAGATTGGCGCCCTTAGAGATAGGCGCCCCTAGAGATAGGCGCCCATAGAGATAGGCCGCCGCTAGAGATAGGCTCCCCTACGAGATAGGCGCCCCTAGAGATAGGCGCCCATAGAGATAGGCGCCCATAGAGATAGGCGCCCCCAGAGATAGGCACCCATAGAGATAAGCGCCCACAGAGATAGGCGCCACATAGAGATAGGCACCCCTAGAGATAGGCGCCCATAGAGATAGGCGCCCATAGAGATAGGCGCCCATAGAGATAGGCGCCCATAGAGATAGGCGCCCCAAGAGATAGGCGCCCCTAGAGATAGGCGCCCATAGAGATAGGCGCCCAAAGAGATAGCTGCCCATAGAGATAGGCGCCCCTAGAGATAGACGCCCATAGAGATAGGTGCCCCTAGAGATAGCCGCCCCCTAGAGATAGGCACCCCTAGAGATAGGCGCCCTTAGAGATAGGCGCCCCTGGAGATAGGCGCACCTAGAGATAGGTGCCCCTAGAGGTAGGCGCCCCTAGAGATGGGCGACCATAGAGATAGGCGCCTCTAGAGATTGGCGCCCCTAAAGAGAGGCGCCCATAGAGATAGGCGCCCATAGAGATAGGCACCCCTAGAGATAGGCGCCCCTTGAGACAGACGCCCATAGAGATAGCCGCCCCTAGAGATAGGCGCCCATAGAGATAGGCGCCCATAGAGATAGGTGCCCCTAGAGATTGGCGCCCATAGAGATATGCGCCCCTAGAGATAGGCGCTCCTAGAGATAGGCGCCCCTAGAGATAGGCGCCACTAGAGATAGGCGCCCCTAGAGATAGGCGCCCACAGAGATAGGCACCCCTAGAGATAGGCGCCATAGAGATAGGCGCCCATAGAGATAGGCGCCCATAGAGATAGGCGCCCATAGAGATAGGGCGCCCATAGAGATAGGCGCCCATAGAGATAGGCGCCCATAGAGATAGGCGCCCATAGAGATAGGCGCCCATTAGAGATAGGCGCCTCTAGAGATAGGCGCCCCTAGAGATAGGCGCCCATAGAGATAGGCGCCCAAAGAGATAGGCGCCCATAGAGATAGGCGCCCCTAGAGATAGACGCCCATAGAGATAGGCGCCCCTAGAGATAGCCGCCCCTAGAGATAGGCACCCCTAGAGATAGGCGTCCCTAGAGGTATGCGCCCTGGAGATAGGCCGCCTCTAGAGATAGGTGCCCTAGAGGTAGGCGCCCCCTAGAGATGGGCGCCCATAGAGATAGGCGCCTCTAGAGATTTGCGCCCCTAAAGAGACGCGCCCATAGAGATAGGCGCCCATAGAGATAGGCGCCCCTAGAGATAGGCGCCCTTAGAGATAAACACCCATAGAGATAGGCGCCCTAGAGATAGGCGCCCATAGAGATAGACGCCCATAGAGATAGGCCGCCCCTAGAGATAGGCGCCCCTAGAGATAGGGGCCCATAGAGATAGGCGCCCAAAGAGATAGGTGCCCATAGAGATAGGAGCCCCTAGAGATAGGCGCCCATAGAGATAGGCGCCCCTAGAGATAGCCGCCCATAGCGATAGGCACCCCTAGAGATAGGCGCCCCTAGAGATAGGCGCCCCTGGAGATAGGCGCCCCTAGAGATAGGCGCCCCTAGAGATAGGCGCCCATACAGATAGGCGCCCAAAAAGATAAGCGCCTCTAGAGATTGGCGCCCCTAAAGAGAGGAGCCCATAGAGATAGGCGCACATAGAGATAGGCGCCCCTAGAGATAGGCGCCCCTAGAGATAGGCGCCTATAGAGATGGGCGCTGCTAGAGATAGACGCCCATAGAGATAGGCGCCCCTAGAGATAGGCGCCCATAGAGATAGGCGCCCATAGAGATAGGCACCCCTAGAGATAGGCGCCCCTAGAGATAGGCGCCCATAGAGATAGGCGCCCAAAGAGATAGGCGCCCATAGAGGTAGGCGCCCATAGAGATAGGCGCCCATAGAGATAGGCGCCCATAGAGATAGGCGCCCCTAGAGATAGGCGCCCATAGAGATATGCGCCCCTAGAGATAGGCGCCCGTAGAGATAGGCGCCCAAAGAGATAGGTGCCCATAGAGATAGGCGCCCCTAGAGATAGCCGCCCCTAGAGATAGGCACCCCTAGAGATAGGCGCCCCTAGAGATAGGCGCCCCTGGAGATAGGCGGCCCTAGAGATAGGTGGCACTAGAGATAGCCGCCCCTAGAGAAAGGCACCCCTAGAGATAGGCGCAACTAGAGATAGGCGCCCCTAAAGATAGGCGCCCCTAGAGATAGGTGCCCCTAGAGGTAGGCGCCCCTGGAGATGGGCGACCATAGAGATAGGCACCTCTAGAGATTGGCGCCCCTAAAGAGAGGCGCCCATAGAGATAGGCGCCCGTAGAGATAGGCGCCCCTAGAAATAGGCGCCCCTTGAGATAGACGCCCATAGAGATAGGCGCCCCTAGAGATAGGCGCCCATAGAGATAGGCGCCCATAGAGATAGGCGCCCATAGAGATAGGCGCCCCTAGAGATAGGCACCCAAAGGGATAGGCACCTCTAGAGATTGCCGCCCCTAAAGAGAGGCGCCCATAGAGATAGGCGCACATAGAGATAGGCGCCCCTAGTGATAGGCGCCCCTAGAGATAGGCGCCGCTAAAGATAGGCGCCCTAGAGATAGGCGCCCCAAGAGATAGGCGCCCATAGAGATAGGCGCCCATAGATATAGGCGCCCAAAGAGATAGTCGCCTATCGAGATAGGCGCTCCTAGAGATAGGCGCCCATAGAGATATGCGCCCCTAGAGATAGCCGCCTCTAGAGATAGGCACCCCTAGAGATAGGCGCCCCTAGAGATAGGCGCCCCTCGGGATAGACGCCCCTAGAGATACGTGCCCCTAGAGAGTGGCGCCCTTAGAGATACGCGCCCCTAGAGATAGGCGCCCATAGAGATAGGCCGCCGCTAGAGATAGGCTCCCCTAGAGATAGGCGCCCCTAGAGATAGGCGCCCATAGAGATAGGCGCCCATAGAGATAGGCGCCCCCAGAGATAGGCACCCATAGAGATAAGCGCCCACAGAGATAGGCGCCCCATAGAGATAGGCACCCCTAGAGATAGGCGCCCATAGAGATAGGCGCCCATAGAGATAGGCGCCCATAGAGATAGGCGCCCCAAGAGATAGGCGCCCCTAGAGATAGGCGCCCATAGAGATAGGCGCCCAAAGAGATAGCCGCCCATAGAGATAGGCGCCCCTAGAGATAGGCGCCCATAGAGATAGGTGCCCCTAGAGATAGCCGCCCCTAGAGATAGGCACCCCTAGAGATAGGCGCCCTTAGAGATAGGCGCCCCTGGAGATAGGCGCACCTAGAGATAGGTGCCCCTAGAGGTAGGCGCCCCTAGAGATGGGCGACCATAGAGATAGGCGCCTCTAGAGATTGGCGCCCCTAAAGAGAGGCGCCCATAGAGATAGGCGCCCATAGAGATAGGCACCCCTAGAGATAGGCGCCCCATGAGATAGACGCCCATAGAGATAGCCGCCCCTAGAGATAGGCGCCCATAGAGATAGGCGCCCATAGAGATAGGTGCCCCTAGAGATTGGCGCCCATAGAGATATGCGCCCCTAGAGATAGGCGCTCCTAGAGATAGGCGCCCCTAGAGATAGGCGCCACTAGAGATAGGCGCACCTAGAGATAGGCGCCCACAGAGATAGGCACCCCTAGAGATAGGCGCCCATAGAGATATGCGCCCATAGAGATAGGCACCCATAGAGATAGGCGCCCATAGAGATAGGAGCCCATAGAGATAGGCGCCCATAGAGATAGGCGCCCATAGAGATAGGCGCCCATAGAGATAGGCGCCCATAGAGATAGGCGCCCATAGAGATAGGCGCCCCTAGAGATAGGCGCCCCTAGAGATAGGCGCCCATAGAGATAGGCGCCCATAGAGATAGGCGCCCCTAGAGATAGGCGCCCATAGAGATAGGCGCCCATAGAGATAGGCACCCATAGAGATAGGTGCCCCTAGAGATTGGCGCCCATAGAGATATGCGCCCCTAGAGATAGGCGCTCCTAGAGATAGGCGCCCCTAGAGATAGGCGCCCCTAGAGATAGGCGCCCATAGAGATAGGCGCCCCTAGAGATAGGCACCACTACAGATAGGCGCCCCTAGAGATAGGCGCCCCATAGAGATAGGCACCCCTAGAGATAGGCGCCCATAGAGATAGGCGCCCATAGAGATAGGCACCCATAGAGATAGGCACCCCTAGAGATAGGCGCCCCTTAAGATAGACGCCCATAGAGATAGCCGCCCCTAGAGATAGGCGCCCATAGAGATAGGCGCCCATATATATAGGTGCCCTTAGAGATTGGAGCCCATAGAGATATGCGCCCCTAGAGATAGGCGCCCATAGAGATAGGCGCCCCTAGAGATAGGCGCCCATAGAGATAGGCGCCCCTAGAGATAGGCGCCACTAGAGATAGGCGCCCCTAGAGATAGGCGCCCATAGAGATAGGCACCCCTAGAGATAGGCGCCCATAGAGAGAGGCGCCCATAGAGATAGGCGCCCATAGAGATAGGCGCCCATAGAGATAGGCGCCCATAGAGATAGGCGCCCATAGAGATAGGCGCCCATAGAGAGAGGCGCCCATAGAGATAGGCGCCCATAGAGATAGGCGCCCATAGAGATAGGCGCCCATAGAGATAGGCGCCCATAGAGATAGGCGCCCATAGAGATAGGTGCCCATAGAGATAGGCACCCATAGAGATAGGCGCCCATAGAGATAGGCGCCCATAGAGGATAGGCGCCCAAAGCGATAGGCGCTTATAGAGGTAGGCGCCCATAGAGATAGGCGCCCATAGAGATAGGCGCCCATAGAGATAGGCGCCCATAGAGATAGGCGCCCAAAGCGATAGGCGCCCATAGAGGTAGGCGCCCATAGAGATAGGCGCCCATAGAGAAAGGCGCCCATAGAGATAGGCGCCCCTAGAGATAGGCGCCCATAGAGATAGGCGCCCATAGAGATAGGCGCCCATAGAGATAGGCGCCCATAGAGAAAGGCGCCCATAGAGATAGGTGCCCATAGAGATAGGCGCCCATAGAGATAGGCGCCCATAGAGATAGGCGCCCATAGAGATAGGCGCCCATAGAGATAGGCGCCCGTAGAGATAGGCGCCCATAGAGATAGGCGCCCATAGAGATAGGCGCCCATAGAGATAGGCGCCCATAGAGATAGGCGCCCAAAGAGATAGGCGCCCATAGAGGTAGGCGCCCATAGAGATAGACGCCCATAGAGATAGGCGCCCATAGAGATAGGCGCCCCTAGAGATAGGCGCCCATAGAGATATGCGCCCCTAGAGATAGGCGCCCCTAGAGATAGGCGCCCCTAGAGATAGGCGCCCATAGAGATAGGCGCCCCTAGAGATAGCCGCCCCTAGAGATAGGCACCCCTAGAGATAGGCGCCCCTAGAGATAGGCGCCCCTGGAGATAGGCGGCCCTAGAGATAGGTGCCCCTAGAGATAGCCGCACCTAGAGAAAGGCACCCCTAGAGATAGGCGCAACTAGAGATAGGCGTCCCTAAAGATAGGCGCCCCTAGAGATAGGTGCCCCTAGAGGTAGGCGCCCCTAGAGATGGGCGCCCATAGAGATAGGCGCCCATAGAGATAGGCGCCCATAGAGATAGGTGCCCATAGAGATAGGCGCCCATAGAGATAGGCGCACATAGAGATAGGCGCCCATAGATCTAGGCGCCCATAGAGATAGGCGCCCATAGATCTAGGCGCCCATAGAGATATGCGCCCCTAGAGATAGGCGCCCCTAGAGATAGGCGCCCAAAGCGATAGGCGCCCATAGAGATAGGCGCCCCTAGAGATAGCCGCCCCTAGAGATAGGCACCCCTATAGATAGGCGCCCCTAGAGATAGGCGCCCCTGGAGATAGGCGGCCCTAGAGATAGGTGCCCCTAGAGATAGCCGCCCCTAGAGAAAGGCACCCCTAGAGATAGGCGCAACTAGAGATAGGCGCCCCTAAAGATAGGCGCCCCTAGAGATAGGTGCCCCTAGAGGTAGGCGCCCCTAGAGATGGGCGACCATAGAGATAGGCACCTCTAGAGATTGGCGCCCCTAAAGAGAGGCGCCCATAGAGATAGGAGCCCGTAGAGATAGGCGCCCCTAGAGATAGGCGCCCCTTGAGATAGACGCCCATAGAGATAGGCGCCCCTAGAGATAGGCGCCCATAGAGATAGGCGCCCATAGAGATAGGCGCCCATAGAGATAGGCGCCCCTAGAGATAGGCGCCCAAAGGGATAGGCACCTCTAGAGATTGGCGCCCCTTAAGAGAGACGCCCATAGAGATAGGCGCACATAGAGATAGGCGCCCCTAGTGATAGGCGCCCCTAGAGATAGGCGCCGCTAAAGATAGGCGCCCTAGAGATAGGCGCCCCAAGAGATAGGCGCCCATAGAGATAGGCGCCCATAGAGATAGGCGCCCCTAGAGATAGGCGCCCCTAGAGATAGGCGCCCATAGAGATAGGCGCCCAAAGAGATAGCCGCCCATAGAGATAGGCGCCCCTAGAGATAGGCGCCCATAGAGATAGGTTCCCCTAGAGATAGCCGCCCCTAGAGATAGGCACCCCTAGAGATAGGCGCCCTTAGAGATAGGCGCCCCTGGAGATAGGCGCACCTAGAGATAGGTGCCCCTAGAGGTAGGCGCCCCTAGAGATGGGCGACCATAGAGATAGGCGCCTCTAGAGATTGGCGCCCCTAAAGAGAGGCGCCCATAGAGATAGGCGCCCATAGAGATAGGCACCCCTAGAGATAGGCGCCCCTTGAGATAGACGCCCATAGAGATAGCCGCCCCTAGAGATAGGCGCCCATAGAGATAGGCGCCCAGATAGGTGCCCCTAGAGATTGGCGCCCATAGAGATATGCGCCCCTAGAGATAGGCGCTCCTAGAGATAGGCGCCCCTAGAGATAGGCGCCACTAGAGATAGGCGCCCCTAGAGATAGGCGCCCACAGAGATAGGCACCCCTAGAGATAGGCGCCCATAGAGATAGGCGCCCATAGAGATAGGCGCCCATAGAGATAGGCGCCCATAGAGATAGGCGCCCATAGAGATAGGCGCCCATAGAGATAGGCGCCCATAGAGATAGGCGCCCATAGAGATAGGCGCCCATAGAGATAGGCGCCCATAGAGATAGGCGCCCCTAGAGATAGGCGCCCCTAGAGATAGGAGCCCATAGAGATAGGCGCCCATAGAGATAGGCGCCCCTAGAGATAGGCGCCCATAGAGATAGGCGCCCATAGAGATAGGCACCCATAGAGATAGGTGCCCCTAGAGATTGGCGCCCATAGAGATATGCGCCCCTAGAGATAGGCGCTCCTAGAGATAGGCGCCCATAGAGATAGGCGCCCATAGAGATAGGCGCCCATAGAGATAGGCGCCCATAGAGATAGGCGCCCCTAGAGATAGGCGCCCCTAGAGATAGGCGCCCATAGAGATAGGCGCCCATAGAGATAGGCGCCCCTAGAGATAGGCGCCCATAGAGATAGGCGCCCATAGAGATAGGCGCCCATAGAGATAGGCGCCCCAAGAGATTGGGCGCCTATCTCTATGGGCGCCTCTAGAGATTGGCGCCTATCTCTAGTGGCGCCTATCTCTAGGGGCGCCTATCTCTATGGGCGCCTATCTCTAGGGGCGCCTATCTCTAGGGGCGCCTATCTCTAGGAGCGCCTATCTCTAGGGGCGCATATCTCTATGGGCGCCAATCTCTAAGGGCACCTATCTCTATGGGCGCCTATCTCTAAGGGCGCCTATCTCTAGGGGCGGCTATCTCTATGGGCGTCTATCTCAAGGGGCGCCTATCTCTAGGGGTGCCTATCTCTATGGGCGCCTATCTTTATGGGCGCCTATCTCTATGGGCGCCTATCTCTAGGGGTGCCTATTTCTATGGGCGCCTATCTCTAGGGGGCGCCTATCTGTAGTGGCGCCTATCTCTAGGGGCGCCTATCTCTATGGGCGCCTATCTCTAGGGGCGCCTATCTCTAGGGGCGCCTATCTCTAGGAGCGCCTATCTCTAGGGGCGCATATTTCTATGGGCGCCAATCTCTAGGGGCACCTATCTCTATGGGTGCCTATCTCTATGGGCGCCTATCTCTATGGGCGCCTATCTCTAGGGGCGCCTATCTCTATGGGCGCCTATCTCTATGGGCGCCTATCTCTAGGTGCGCCTATCTCTAGGGGCGCCTATCTCTATGGGCGCCTATCTCTATGGGCGCCTATCTCTATGGGCGCCTATCTCTATGGGCGCCTATCTCTATGGGCGCCTATCTCTATGGGCGCCTATCTCTATGGGCGCCTATCTCTATGGGCGCCTATCTCTATGGGCGCCTATCTCTATGGGCGCCTATCTCTAGGGTGCCTATCTTTGTGGGCGCCTATCTCTAGGGGCACCTATCTCTAGTGGCGCCTATCTCTAGGGGCGCCTATCTCTAGGAGCGCCTATCTCTAGGGGCGCATATCTCTATGGGCGCCAATCTCTAGGGGCACCTATCTCTATGGGCGCCTATCTCTATGGGCGCCTATCTCTAGGGGCGGCTATCTCTATGGGCGTCTATCTCAAGGGGCGCCTATCTCTAGGGGTGCCTATCTCTATGGGCGCCTATCTCTATGGGCGCCTCTCTTTAGGGGCGCCAATCTCTAGAGGCGCCTATCTCTATGGTCGCCCATCTCTAGGGGCGCCTACCTCTAGGGGCACCTATCTCTAGGGGCGCCTATCTCCAGGGGCGCCTATCTCTAAGGGCGCCTATCTCTAGGGGTGCCTATCTCTAGGGGCGGCTATCTCTAGGGGCACCTATCTCTATGGGCGCCTATCTCTAGGGGCGCCTATCTCTATGGGCGGCTATCTCTTTGGGCGCCTATCTCTATGGGCGCCTATCTCTAGGGGCGCCTATCTCTTGGGGCGCCTATCTCTATGGGCGCCTATCTCTATGGGCGCCTATCTCTATGGGCGCCTATCTCTATGGGCGCCTATCTCTAGGGGTGCCTATCTCTATGGGGCGCCTATCTCTGTGGGCGCTTATCTCTATGGGTGCCTATCTCTGGGGGCGCCTATCTCTATGGGCGCCTATCTCTATGGGCGCCTATCTCTAGGGGCGCCTATCTCTAGGGGCGCCTATCTCTATGGGCGCCTATCTCTATGGACGCCTATCTCTATGGGCGCCTATCTCTATGGGCGCCTATCTCTATGGGCGCCTATCTCTATGGGCGCCTATCTCTAGGGGTGCCTATATCTGTGGGCGCCTATCCCTAGGGGAGCCTATCTCTAGTGGCGCCTATCTCTAGGGGCGCCTATCTCTAGGAGCGCCTATCTCTAGGGGCGCATATCTATAAGGGCGCCTATCTCTATGGGCGCCTATCTCTATGGGCGCCTATCTCTATGGGCGCCTATCTCTATGGGCGCCTATCTCTATGGGCGCCTATCTCTATGGGCGCCTATCTCTATGGGCGCCTATCTCTATGGGCGCCTATCTCTATGGGCGCCTATCTCTAGGGTGCCTATCTCTGTGGGCGCCTATCTCTAGGGGCACCTATCTCTAGTGGCGCCTATCTCTAGGGGCGCCTATCTCTAGGAGCGCCTATCTCTAGGGGCGCATATCTCTATGGGCGCCAATCTCTAGGGGCACCTATCTCTATGGGCGCCTATCTCTATGGGCGCCTATCTCTAGGGGCGGCTATCTCTATGGGCGTCTATCTCAAGGGGCGCCTATCTATAGGGGTGCCTATCTCTATGGGCGCCTATCTCTATGGGCGCCTCTCTTTAGGGGCGCCAATCTCTAGAGGCGCCTATCTCTATGGTCGCCCATCTCTAGGGGCGCCTACCTCTAGGGGCACCTATCTCTAGGGGCGCCTATCTCCAGGGGCGCCTATCTCTAAGGGCGCCTATCTCTAGGGGTGCCTATCTCTAGGGGCGGCTATCTCTAGGGGCACCTATCTCTATGGGCGCCTATCTCTAGGGGCGCCTATCTCTATGGGCGGCTATCTCTTTGGGCGCCTATCTCTATGGGCGCCTATCTCTAGGGGCGCCTATCTCTTGGGGCGCGTATCTCTATGGGCGCCTATCTCTATGGGCGCCTATCTCTATGGGCGCCTATCTCTATGGGCGCCTATCTCTAGGGGTGCCTATCTCTATGGGGTGCCTATCTCTGTGGGCGCTTATCTCTATGGGTGCCTATCTCTGGGGGCACCTATCTCTGTGGGCGCCTATCTCTATGGGCGCCAATCTCTAGGGGCGCCTATCTCTAGGGGCGCCTATCTCTAGCGGCGGCCTATCTCTATGGGCGCCTATCTCTAGGGGCGCCTATCTCTAAGGGCGCCAATCTCTAGGGGCACGTATCTCTAGGGGCGTCTATCCCGAGGGGCGCCTATCTCTAGGGGCGCCTATCTCTAGGGGTGCCTATCTCTAGGGGTGGCTATCTCTAGGGGCGCATATCTCTATGGGCGCCTATCTCTAGGGGCGCCTATCTCGATAGGCGACTATCTCTTTGGGCGCCTATCTCTACGGGCGCCTATCTCTATGGGCGCCTCTCTTTAGGGGCGCCAATCTCTAGAGGTGCCTATCTCTATGGTCGCCCATCTCTAGGGGCGCCTACCTCTAGGGGCACCTATCTCTAGGGGCGCCTATCTTTAGGGGCGCCTATCTCTAGTTGCGCCTATCTCTAGGGGTGCCTTTCTCAAGGGGCGGTTATCTCTAGGGGCACCTATCTCTAGGGCCGCCTATCTCCAGGGGCGCCTATCTCTAGGGGCGCCTATCTCTAGGGGTGCCTATCTCTAGGGGTGGCTATCTCTAGGGGCGCCTATCTCTATGGGCGCCTATCTCTTTGGGCGCCTATCTCTAGGGGCGCCTATCTCTAGGGGCGCATATCTCTATGGGCGCCTATCTCTAGGGGCGCCTATCTCTATGGGCGCCTATCTCTATGGGCGCCTATCTCTATGGGCGCCTACCTCTATGGGCGCCTATCTCTTTGGGCGCCTATCTCTATGGGCGCCTATCTCTAGGGGCGCCTATCTCTAGGGGTGCCTATCTCTATGAGCGCCTATCTCTATGGGCGCCTATATCTAGGGGCGCCTATCTCTATGGGCGTCTATCTCTAGTAGCGCCCATCTCTATAGGCGCCTATCTCTAGGGGCGCCTATCTCTAGGGGCGCCTATCTCTATGTGCGCCTATCTCTATGGGCGCCTCTCTTTAGGGGCGCCAATCTCTAGAGGCGCTTATCTTTTTGGGTGCCTATCTGTATGGGCGCCTATCTCTAGGGGCGCCTATCTCTAGGGGCGCCTATCTCCAGGGGCGCCTATCTCTAGGGGCGCCTATCTCTAGGGGTGCCTATCGCTATGGGCGGCTATCTCTAGGGGCGCCTATCTCTATGGGCGCCTATCTCTAGGGGCTCCTATCTCTATGGGCACCTATCTTTTTGGGCGCCTATCTCTATGGGCCCCTATCTCTAGGGGCGCCTATCTCTAGGGGCGCCTATCTCTATGGGCGTCTATCTCTATGGGCGCCTATCTCTAGGGGCGCCTATCTCTATGGGCGTTTATCTCTAAGGGCGCCTATCTCTAGGGCGCCTATCTCTAAGGGCGCCTATCTCTACGGGCGCGTCTCTTTAGGGGCGCAAATCTCTAGAGGCGCCTATCTCTATGGGCGCCCATCTCTAGGGGCGCCTACCTCTATGGGGCACCTATCTCTAGAGGCGCCTATTTCAAGGGGCGCATATCTCTAGGGGCGCCTATCTCTAGGGGTGCCTATCTCTAGGGGCGGCTATCTCTAGGGGCGCCTATCTCTATGGGCGCCTATCTCTAGGGGCGCCTATCTCTATGGGCGCCTATCTCTTTGGGCGCCTATCTCTATGGACGCCTATCTCTAGGGGCGCCTATCTCTAGGGGCGCCTATCTCTATGGGCGCCTATCTCTATTGGCGCATATCTCTATGGGCGCCTATCTCTATGGGCGCCTATCTCTATGGGCGCCTATCTCTATGGGCGTCTATCTCTATGGGCACCTATCTCTAGGGCGCCTATCTCTAGTGGAGCCTAACTCTAGGGGCGCCTATCTCTATGGGGCGCCTATCTCAAGGGGCGCCTATCTCTAGGGGCGCCTATCTCTAGGGGCGCCTATCTCTAGGGGCGCATATCTCTATGGGCGCCTATATCTAGGGGCGCTTATCTCTATGAGCGCCTATCTCTATGGGCGCCTATCTCTATGGGCGCCTATCTGTTTGGGCGCCTATCTCTATGGGCGTCTATCTCTAGGCGCGCCTATCTCTAGGGGGCGCCTATCTCTATGGGCGCCTATCTCTATGGGCGCCTATCTCTAGGGGCGCCTATCTCTATGGGCGCCTATCTTTAGCTGCGCCTATCTCTATAAGCGCCTATCTCTAAGGGCGCCTATCTCTAGGGGCGCCTATCTCTATGTGCGCCTATCTCTATGGGCGCCTCTCTTTAGGGGCGCCAATCTCTAGAGGCGCCTATCTCTTTGGGCGCCTATCTCTATGGGGCGGCTATCTCTAGGGGCGCCTATCTCTAGGGCGCCTATCTCTATGGGCGCATATCTCTATGGGCGCCTATCTCTAGGGGCGCCTATCTCTATGGGCGTCTATCTCTATAGGGCGCCTATCTCTATGGGCGCCTCTCTTTAGGGGCGCCAATTTCTAGAGGCGCCTATCTCTATGGGCCGCCCATCTCTAGGGGGCGCCTACCTCTAGGGGCACCTATATCTAGTGGCGCCTATCTCCAGGGGCGCCTATCTCTAGGGGCGCCTATCTCTAGGGATGCCTATATCTAGGGGCGGCTATCTCTAGGGGCGCCTATCTCTATGGGCGCCTATCTCTAGGGGCGCCTATCTCTATGGCGCCTATCTCTTTGGGCGCCTATCTTTATGGGCGCCTATCTCTAGGGGCGCCTATCTCTAGGGGCGCCTATCTCTATGGGCGCCTATCTCTATGGGCGCATATCTCTATGGGCGCCTATCTCTACGGGCGCCTATCTCTATGGGCGCCTATCTCTAGGGGCGCCTATCTCTAGTGGCGCCTATCTCTATGGGCGCCTATCTCTAGGGGCGCCTATCTCAATGGGCGCCTATCTCTATGGGCGCCTATCTCTATGGGCGCCTATCTCTATGGGTGCCTATCTCTTTGGGCGCCTATCTCTATGGGCGCCTATCTCTAGGGGCGCCTATCTCTAGGGGCGCCTATCTCTATGGGCGCCTATCTCTATTGGCGCCTATCTCTAGGGGGCGCCTATCTCTATGGGCGCCTATCTTTAGCGGCGCCTATCTCTAGGGGCGCCTATCTCTAGTGGCGCCTATCTCTATGGGCACCTATCTCTAGGGGCGCCTATCTCTATGGGCGCCCTATCTCTATGGGCGCCTATCTCTATGGGCGCCTATCTCTATGAGTGCCTATCTCTTTGGGCGCCTATCTCTATGGGCGCCTATCTCTAGGGGCGCCTATCTCTATGGGCGCCTATCTCTATGGGCGCCTATCTCTATGGGCGCCTATCTCTAGGGGCGCCTATCTCTATGGGCGCCTATCTTAGCGGCTCCTATCTCTATAGGTTGCCTATCTCTAGGGGCGCTTATCTCTATGTGCGCCTATCTCTATGGGCGCCTCTCTTTAGGGGCGCCAATCTCTAGAGGCGCCTATCTCTTTGGGCGCCAATCTCTATGGGCGCCTATCTCTATGTGCGCCTATCTCTAGGGGCGCCTATCTCTATGGGCGCCTATCTCTATGGGCACCTATCTCTAGGGGCGCCTATCTCTATGGGCGTCTATCTCTAGGGGCGCCTATCTCTAGGGGCACATATCTCTATAGGCGCCTATCTCTATGGGCGCCTCTCTTTAGGGGCGCCAATCTCTAGAGGAGCCTATCTCTATGGGCGCCCATCTCTAGGGGCGCCTACCTCTAGGGGCACCTATCTCTAGTGGCGCCTATATCCAGGGGCGCCTATCTCTAGGGGGCGCCTATCTCTAGGGGTGCCTATCTCTAGGGGCGGCTATCTCTAGGGGCGCCTATCTCTATGGGCGCCTATCTCTAGGGGCGCCTATCTCTATGGGCGCCTATCTCTATGGGCGCCTATCTCTATGGGCGCCTATCTCTATGGGCGCCTATCTCTATGGCGCCTATCTCTAGGGGCGCCTATCTCTAGGGGCGCCTATCTCTTTTGGCGCCTATCTCTATGGGCGCCTATCTCTAGGGGCGCCTATCTCTATGGGCGCCTATCTTTAGCGGCGCCTATCTCTATAGGCGCCTATCTCTAGGGGCGCTTATCTCTATGTGCGCCTATCTCTATGGGCGCCTCTCTTTAGGGGCGCCAATCTCTAGAGGCGCCTATCTCTTTGGGCGCCAATCTCTATGTGCGCCTATCTCTAGTGGCGCCTATCTCTATGGGCACCTATCTCTAGGGGCGCCTATCTCTATGGGCGCCTATCTCTATGGCGCCTATCTCTATGGGCGCCTATCTCTAGGGGTGCCTATCTCTTTTGGGCGCCTATCTCTATGGGCGCCTATCTCTAGGGGCGCCTATCTCTATGGGCGCCTATCTCTATGGGCGCCTATCTCTATGGGCGCCTATCTCTATGGGTGCCTATCTCTTTGGGCGCCTATCTCTATGGGCGCCTATCTCTAGGGGCGCCTATCTCTATGGGCGCCTATCTCTATGGGCGCCTATCTCTATGTGCGCCTATCTCTAGGGGCGCCTATCTCTATGGGCGCCTATCTCTATGGGCGCCTATCTCTAGGGGCGCCTATCTCTATGGGCGTCTATCTCTAGGGGCGCCTATCTCTAGGGGCACATATCTCTATAGGCGCCTATCTCTATGGGCGCCTCTCTTTAGGGGCGCCAATCTTCTAGAGGCGCCTATCTCTATGGGCGCCCATCTCCAGGGGCGCCTACCTCTAGGGGCACCTATCTCTAGTGGCGCCTATCTCCAGGGGCGCCTATCTCTAGGGGCGCCTATCTCTAGGGGGGTGCCTATCTCTAGGGGCGGCTATCTCTAGGGGCGCCTATCTCTATGGGCGCCTATCTCCTGGGGCGCCTATCTCTAGGGGCGCCTATCTCTAGGGGCGCCTATCTCTATGGGCGCCTATCTCTATGGGCGCCTATCTCTATGGGCGCCTATCTCTACGGGCGCCTATCTCTATGGGCGCCTATCACTAAGGGCGCCTATCTCTAGTGGCGCCTATCTCTATGGTCGCCTATCTCTAGGGGCGCCTATCTCTATTGGTGCCTATCTCTATGGGCGCCTATCTCTATGGGCGCCTATCTCTATAGGTGCCTATCTCTTTGGGCGCCTATCTCTATGGGCGCCTATCTCTAGGGGTGCCTATCTCTAGGGGCACCTATCTCTATGGGCGCCTATCTCTATGGGCGCCTATCTCTAGGGGCGCCTATCTCTAGGGGCGCCTATCTCTAGGGGCGCCTATCTCTATGGACGCCTATCTCTATGGGCGCCTATCTCTAGGGGCGCCTATCTCTAAGGGGTGCCTATCGCTAGGGGCGGCTATCTCTAGGGGCGGCTATCTCTAGAGCGCCTATCTCTATGGGTGCCTATCTCTTTGGGCGCCTATCTCTATGGGCGCCTATCTCTAGGGGCGCCTATGTCTAGGGGCGCCTGTCTCTAAGGGCGCCTATCTCTATGGGCGCCTATCTCTAGGGGCGCCTATTTTTATTGGCGCCTATCTCTAGGGGCGCCTATCTCTAGGGGCACCTATCTATATGGGCGCCTATCTCCATGGGCGCGTCTCTTTAGGGGTACCAATCTCTAGAGGCACCCATCTCTAGGGGCGGGGTGATGGAAAGCGGGAGAATTGGGCGGGGTGATGGAAAGCGGGAGAATGGAGCGGGGTGGTGGAAAGCGGGAGAATGGGGCGTGGTGATGGAAAGAGGGAGAATGAGGAGGGGTGATGGAAAGAGGGAGAATTGGGCGGGGTGATGGAAAGCGGGAGAATAGAGCGGGGTGATGGAAAGAGGGGAAATGGGGGCGGGGTGATGGAAAGCGGGAGAATGGGGCGGGGTGATGGAAAGAGGGAGAATGGGGCGGGGTGATGGAAAGCGGGAGAATGGGGCGGGGTGATGGAAAGCGGGAGAATGGGGCGGGGTGATGGAAAGCGGGAGAATGGGGCGGGGTGATGGAAAGCGGGAGAATGGGGCGGGGTGATGGAAAGAGGGAGAATGGGGCGGTGTGATGGAAGCGGGAGAACGGGGCGGGGTGATGGAAAGCGGGAGAATGGGGCGGGGTGATGGAAAGTGGGAGAATGGGGCGGGGTGATGGAAATAGGGAAAATGGAGCGGGGTGATAAAAACTTGGAGAATGGGGCGGGGTGATGGAAAGAAGAAGAATGGGGCAGGGTGATGGAAAGCGGGAGAATGGGGCGAGGAGATGGTAAGAGGGAGAATGGGGCGAGTTGATGGAAACAGGGAGAATGGGGCGGGGTGACGGAAAGAGGGAGAGTGGGACGGGGTGATGGAAAGAGGGAGAATGGGGCGGGGAGATGGAAAGAGGGAGAATGGAGAGGGGTGATGGAAAGCGGGAGAATTGGGCGGGGTGATGGAAAGCGGGAGAATGGAGGCAGGGTGATGGAAAGCGGGAGAATGGGGTGGGGTGATAGAAAGCGGGAGAATGGGGCGGGGTGATGGAAAGAGGGAGAATAGGGCGGGGTGATGGAAAGCAGGAGAATGGGCGGGGTAATGGAAAGAGGGAGAATGGGGCGGGGTGATGGAAAGAGGGAGAATGGGGCGGGGTGATGGGAAAGCGGGAGAATGGGGCGGGGTGATGGAAAGCGGGAGAACGGGGCGGGGGTGCATGGAAAAGAGGGAGAATGGGGGCGGGGTGATGGAAAGCGGGAGAATGGGGCGGGGTGATGGAAAGCGGGAGAATGGGGCGGGGGTGATGGAAAGCGGGAGAAATGGGGCGGGGTGATGGAAAGGGGGAGAACGGGCGGGGTGATGGAAAGAGGGAGAATGGGGGCGGGGTGATGGAAAGCGGGAGAATGGGGCGGGGTGATGGAAAGAGGGAGATGGGGCGGGGTGATGGAAAGCGGGAGAATGGGTCGGGGTGATGGAAAGAGGGAGAATGGGGCGGGTGATGGAAAGAGGGAGAATGGGGCAGGATGACGGAAATCGGGAGAATGGGGCGGGGTGATGGGAAAGAGGGAGAATGGGGCGAGGTGACGGAAATCGGGAGAATGGGGAGGGGTGATGGAAAGAGGGAGAATGGGGCGGGATGATGGAAAGAGGGAGAATGGGGCGGGGTGATGGAAAGAGGGAGAATGGGGCGGGGAGATGGAAAGAGGAAGAATGGGGCGAGGTGATGGAAAGAGGGAGAAGGGTGACGGAAATCGGGAAATGGGGCGGGGTGATGGATAGAGGGAGAATGGGGCGGGGTGACGGAAATCGGGAGAATGGGGCAGGGTGATGGAAAGAGGGAGAATGGGGCGGGGTGATGGAAAGAGGGAGAATGGGGCGGGTGATGGAAAGAGGGAGAATGGGCGGGGAGATGGAAAGAGGAAGAATGGGGCGGGGTGATGGAAAGCGGGAGAATGGGGCGGGTGATGGAAAGCGGGAGAATGTGTCGGGGTGATGGAAAGAGGGAGAATGGGGCGGGTGATGGAAAGAGGGAGAATGGGGCAGGATGACGGAAATCGGGAGAATGGGGTGGGGTGATGGAAAGAGGGAGAATGGGGCGCGGTGACGGAAATCGGGAGAATGGGGCGGGGTGATGGGAAGAGGGAGAATGGGGCGGGGTGATGGAAAGAGGGAGAATGGGGCGGGGTGATGGAAAGAGGAGAATGGGGCGGGAAGATGGAAAGAGGAAGAATGGGGCGGGGTGATGGAAAGAGGAAGAATGGGGCGGGGTGACCGGAAATCGGGAGAATGGGGCGGGGTGATGGAAAGAGGGAGAATGGGGCGGGGTGATGGAAAGAGGGAGAATGGGGCGGGGTGATGGAAAGAGGGAGAATGGGGCGGGGAGATGGAAAGAGGAAGAATGGGGCGGGGTGATGGAAAGCGGGAGAATGGGGCGGGGTGATGGAAAGAGGGAGAATGGGACGGGGTGATGGAAAGCGGGAGAATGGGACGGGGTGATGGAAAGCGGGAGAATGGGGCGGGGTGATGGAAAGCGGGAGAATGGGGCGGGGGTGATGGAAAGAGGGAGAAGGGGGCGGGGTGATGGAAAGCAGGAGAATGGGGGCAGGGTGATGGAAAGCGGGAGAATGGGGCTGGGTGATGGAAAGCGGGAGAACGGGGCGGGGTGATGGAAAGAGGGAGAATGGGGCAGGGTGATGGAAAGCGGAGAATGGGGCAGGATTATGGGAAAGAGGGAGAATGGGGTGGGGTGATGGAAAGCGGGAGAATGGGGCGGGGTGATGGAAAGAGGGAGAATGGGGCGGGGTGATGGAAAGCGGGAGAATGGGGCGGGGTGATGGAAAGCAGGAGAATGGGGCGGGGTTATGGAGAAACGGAGAATGGGGAGGGGTGATGGAAAGAGGGAGAATTGGGCGGGGTGATGGAAAGCGGGACAATGGAGCGGGATGATGGAATACGGTAGAAATGGGGCGGGTGATGGAAAGTGGGAGAATGGGGCGGGGTGATGGAAAGAGGGAGAATGGGGCGGGGTGATGGAAAGCGGGAGAATGGGCGGGGTGATGGAAAGCGGGAGAATGGGGCGGGGTGATGGAAAGCGGGAGAGAACGGGGCGGGGTGATGGAAAGTGGGAGAATGGGGCGGGGTGATGGAAAGCGGGAGAATGGGCGGGGGTCAGGAAAGAGGAGAATGGGGCGGGGTGATGGAAAGCGGGAGAATGGGGCGGGGTGATGGAAAGAGGGAGAATGGGGCGGGGTGATGGAAAGAGGGAGAATGGGGCGGGGTGATGGAAAGCGGGAGAATGGGGCGGGGTTATGGAAAGAGGGAGAATGGGCGGGGTGATGGAAAGCGGGAGAATGGGGCGGGGTGATGGAAAGAGGGAGAATGGGGCGGGGTGATGGAAAGTGTGAGAATGGGGCGGGGTGATGGAAAGCGGGAGAATGGGCCGAGGTGTTTGAAAGCGGGAGAATGGGGCGGGGTGATGGAAAGCGGGAGAATGGGGCGAGGTGATGGAAAGCGGGAGAATGGGGCGGGGTGATGGAAATCGGGAGAATGGGGCGGGGTGATGGAAAGCGGGAGAATAAGGCGGGGTGATGGAAAGCGAGAGAATGGGTCGGGGTGATGGAAAATGGGAGAATGGGATGGGGTGATGGAAAGTGGGAGAATTGGGCGGGGTGATGGATAGAGGAAGAATGGGGCGGGGTGATGGAAAGCGGGAGAATGGGGCGGGTGATGGAAAGAGGGAGAATGGGGCGGGGTGATGGAAAGCGTGAGAATGGGGCGGGGTGATGGAAATCGGAGAATGGGGCGGGGTTATGGAAAGAGGGAGAATGGGGCGGGGTGACGGAAATCGGGAGGAATGGGGCGGGGTGATGGAAAGAGGGAGAATGGGGCGGGGTGATGGAAAGAGGGAGAATGGGGCGGGGTGATGGAAAGAGGGAGAATGGGGCGGGGAGATGGAAAGATGAAGAATGGGGCGGGGTGATGGAAAGCGGGAGAATGGGGCGGGGTGATGGAAAGAGGGATAATGGGACGGGGTGATGGAAAGCGGTAGAATGGGGCGGGGTGATGGAAAGCGGGAGAATGGGGCGGGGTGATGGAAAGCGGGAGAATGGGGCGGGGTGATGGAAAGAGGGAGAATGGAACGGGGTGATGGAAAGCGGGAGAATGGGTCGGGGTGATGGAAAGAGGGAGAAGGGGCGGGGTGATGGAAAGAGGGAGAATGGGGGCGGGGTGACGGAAATCGGGAGAATGGGGCGGGGTGATGGAAAGAGGGAGAATGGGGCGGTGTGATGGAAAGAGGGAGAACGGGGCGGGGTGATGGAAAGAGGGAGAATGGGGCGGGGTGATGGAAAGAGGGAGAATGGGGCGGGGTGATGGAAAGCGGGTGAATGGGGCGGGGTTATGGAAAGAGGGAGAATGGGGCAGGGTGATGGAAAGCGGGAGAATGGGGCGGGTGTGATGGGAAGAGGGAGAATGGGGGGCGGGGTGATGGAAAGCAGGAGAATGGGGCGGGGGTGATGGAAAGCGGGAGAATGGGGCGGGGTGATGGAAAGCGGGGAGAACGGGGCGGGGTGATGGAAAGAGGGAGAATGGGGCGGGGTGATGGAAAGCGGGTGAATGGGGCGGGGTTATGGAAAGAGGGAGAATGGGGCGGGGTGATGGAAAGCGGGAGAATGGGACGGGGTGAAGGAAAGAGGGAGAATGGGGCGGGGTGATGGAAAGAGGGAGAATGGGGCGGGGTGATGGAAAGCGGGAGAATGGGGCGGGGGTGATGGAAAGCGGGAGAATGGGGCGGGGTTATGGAAAAAGGGAGAATGGGGCGGGGTGATGGAAAGAGGGAGAATTGGGTGGGGTGATGGAAAGCGGGACAATGGAGCGGGATGATGAAAAGCGGTAGAATGGGGCGGGGTGATGGAAAGTGGGAGAATGGGGCGGGGTGATGGGAAGAGAGAGAATGGGGCGGGGTGATGGAAAGCGGGAGAATGGGGCGGGGTGATGGAAAGCGGGAGAATGGGGCGGGGTGATGGAAAGCGGGAGAACGGTGCGGGTGAAGGAAAGAGGGAGAATGGGGCGGGGTGATGGAAAGCGGGAGAATGGGGCAGGGTTATGGAAAGAGGGAGAATGGGGCGGGGTGATGGAAAGCGGGAGAATGGGGCGGGGTGATGGAAAGAGGGAGAATGGGGCGGGGGTGATGGAAAGAGGGAGAATGGGGGCGGGGTGATGGAAAGCGGGAGAATGGGGCGAGGTTGTGGAAAGAGGGAGAATGGGGCGGGGTGATGGAAAGCGGGAGAATGGGGCGGGGTGATGGAAAGAGGGAGAATGGGGCGGGGTGATGGAAAGAGGGAGAATGGGGCGGGGGATGGAAGGAGGGAGAATGCGGCAGGGTGATGGAAAGCGGTAGAATGGGGCGGGGTGATGGAAAGCGGGAGAATGGGGCGGGGTTATGGAAAAAGGGAGAATGGGGAGGGGTGATGGAAGAGGGAGAATTGAACGGGGTGATAGAAAGTGGGACAATGGAGCGGGATGATGGAAAGCGGTAGAATGGGGCAGGGTGATAGAAAGCGTGAGAATGGGGCGGGGTGATGGAAAGAGGGAGAATGGGGCGGGGTGATAGAAGCGGGAGAATGGGGCGGGGTGATGGAAAGAGGGAGAATGGGGCGGGGTGATGAAAGGCGGGAGAATGGGGCGGGGTGATGGAAAGAGGGAGAACGGGGCGGGGTGATGGAAAGCGGGAGAATGGGGTGGGGTGATGGAAAGAGGGAGAATGGGGCGGGGTGATGGAAAGCGGGAGAATGGGGCGGGTGATGGAAAGAGGGAGAATGGGGCGGGGTGATGGAAAGCGGGAGAATGGGGCGGGGTTATGGAAAGAGGGAGAATGGGGCAGGGTGATGGAAAGCGGGAGAATGGGGCGGGGTGAATGGAAAGAGGGAGAATGGGGCGGGGTGATGGAAAGAGGGAGAATGGGGCGGGGGTGATGGAAAGCGGGACAATGGAGCGGGGTGATGGAAAGCGGGAGAATGGGGCAGGGTGATGGAAAGCGGGAGAATGGGGCGGGTGATGGAAAGAGGGAAAATGGCGCGGGGTGATGGAAAGCGGGAGAATGGGGCGGGGTGATGGAAAGAGGGAGAATGGGGCGGGGTGATGGAAAGCGGGAGAATGGGCCGGGTGATGGAAAGCGGGAGAATGGGGCGGGGTGATGGAAAGCGGGAGAATGGGGCGGGGTGATGGAAAGCGGGAGAATGGGGAGGGGTGATGGAAAGCAGGAGAATGGGGCGGGGTGATGGAAAGCGGGAGAATGGTGTGGGGTGATGGAAGGAGGGAGAATCGGGCGGGGTGATGGAAAGCGGGAGAATGGGGCGGGGTGATAAAAAGCGGGAGAATGGGGCGAGGTGATGGAAAGCGGGAGAATGGGGCGGGGTTATGGAAAGCGGGAGCATGGGGCGGGGTGATAAAAAGTGGGAGAATGGGGCAAGGTGATGGAAAGCGGGAGAATGGGGCAGGGTGATGCAAGGAGGAAGAATGGGGACGGGTGATAGAAAGCGAGAGAATGGGGCGGGTTGATGGGAAGCGGGAGAATGGGGGCGGGGTGATGGAAAGCAGGAGAATGGGGCGGGTGAGGGAAAGCGGAGAATGGGGCGGGGTGATGGAAAGCGGGAGAATGGGGCGGGGTGATGGAAAGCGGGAGAATGGGGCGGGATGATGGAAAGCGGGAGAATGGGGAGGGGTGATGGAAAGCGGGAGAATGGTGTGGGTGATGGAAGGAGGGAGAATCGGGCGGGGTGATGGAAAGCGGGAGAATGGGGCGGGGTGATAAAAAGCGGGAGAATGGGGCGAGGTGATGGAAAGCGGGAGAATGGGGCGGGGTGATGGAAAGCGGGAGAATGGGGCGGGGTGATGGAAGGAGGGAGAATGGGGACGGGTGATAGAAAGCGGGAGAATGGGGGCGGGGTGATGGAAAGCGGGAGAATGGGGCGGGATGATGGAAAGCGGGAGAATGGGGAGGGGTGATGGAAAGCAGGAGAATGGGGCGGGGTGATGGAAAGCGGGAGAATGGTGTGGGGTGATGGAAGGAGGGAGAATCGGGCGGGGGTGATGGAAAGCGGAGGAATGGGGCGGGGTGATAAAAAGCGGGAGAATGGGGCGAGGTGATGGAAAGCGGGAGAATGGGGCGGGGTGATGGAAAGCGGGAGAATGGGGCGGGGTGATGGAAGGAGGGAGAATGGGGACGGGTGATAGAAAGCGGGAGAATGGGGTCGGGGTGATGGAAGGAGGAGAGGTGATGGAAAGCGGGGGGAACGGGGCGGGATGATGGGAAGCGGGAGAATGAGGCGGGGTGATGGAAAGCGGGAGAATGGGGCAGGGTGATGGAAACCGGGAGAATGGGGCGGGGTGATGGGAAAGGCGGGAGAATGGGGCGGGGTGATGGAAAGCGGGAGAATGGGGCGGGCTGATGTAAAGAGGGAGAATGGGGCGGGGTGATGGAAGGAGGGAGAATGGGGCGGGTGATGGAAGGAGGGAGAATGGGGCGTGGTGATGGAAGGAGGGAGAATGGGGCGGGGTGATGGATAGCGGGAGAATGGGTCGAGGTGATGGAAAGCGGGAGAATGGGGCAGGGTGATGGAAAGCTGGAGAACGGGGCAGGGTGATGGAAAGGCGGGAGAATGGGGCAGGGTGATGGAAAGCGGGAGAATGGGGTGGGGTGATGGAAAGCGGGAGAATGGGGGCGGGGTGATGGAAAGTGGGAGAATGGGGCGGGGTGATGGAAAGAGGGAAAATGGGGCGGGGTGAGGGAAAGCGGGAGAATGGGCCGGGGTGATGGAAAGCGGGAGAATGGGGCGGGGTGATGGAAAAGCGGGAGAATGGGGCGGGGTGATGGAAAGCGGGAGAATGGGGGAGGGGTGATGGAAAGCAGGAGAATGGGGCGGGGTGATGGAAAGCGGGAGAAGAATGGTGTGTGGTGATGGAAGGAGGGAGAATCGGGCGGGGTGATGGAAAGCGGGAGAATGGGGCGGGGTGATAAAAAGCGGGAGAATGGGGCGAGGTAATGGAAAGCGGGAGAATGGGGCGGGGTGATGGAAAGCGGGAGAATGGGGCGGGGTGATGGAAGGAGGGAGAATGGGGACGGGTGATAGAAAGCGGGAGAATGGGGCGGGTGATGGAAGGAGGGAGAGGTGATGGAAAGCGGGGGAATGGGCGGGATGATGCGGGAGAATGAGGCGGGGTGATGGAAGGCGGGAGAATGGGGCAGGGTGATGGAAACCGGGAGAATGGGGCGGGGTGAAGGAAAGCGGGAGAATGGGGCGGGGTGATGGAAAGTGGGAGAATGGGGCGGGGTGATGGGAAAGCGGGTGAATGGGGCCGGGTGATGGAAATCGGGAGAATGCGGCGGGGTGATGGAAAGCGGGAGAATGGGGCGGGGTGATGGAAAGCGGGAGAATGGGGCGGGCTGATGTAAAGCGGGAGAATGGGGCACGGTGATGGAAGGAGGGAGAATGGGCGGGGTGATGGAAGGAGGGAGAATGGGGCGGGTGATGGAAGGATGGAGAATGGGGCGTGGTGATGGAAGGAGGGAGAATGGGGCGGGGTGATGGATAGCGGTAGAATGGGGGCGGGGTGATGGGAAAGCGGGAGAATGGGGCGGGGTGATGGAAAGAGGGAGAATGGGGCGGGGGATGGAAGGAGGGAGAATGCGGCAGGGTGATGGAAAGGCGGTAGAATGGGGCGGGGTGATGGGAAAGCGGGAGGAATGGGGCTGGGTTTATGGAAAAAGGGAGAATAGGGAGGGGTGATGGAAAGAGGGAGAATTGGGCGGGTTGATAGAAAGTGGGACAATGGAGCGGGATGATGGAAAGCGGTAGAATGGGGCGGGGTGATGGAAAGCGGGAGAATGGGGCGGGGTGATGGAAAGAGGGAGAATGGGGCGGGGTGATGGAAAGCGGGAGAATGGGGCGGGGTGATGGAAAGCGGGAGAATGGGGCGGGGCGATGGAAAGCGGGAGAACGGGGCGGGGTGATGGAAAGAGGGAGAATGGGGCGGGGTGATGGAAAGCGGGAGAATGGGGCGGGGTTATGGAAAGAGGGAGAATGGGGCGAGGTGATGGAAAGCGGGAGAATGGGGGCGGGGTGATGGAAAGAGGGAGAATGGGGCGGGGTGATGGAAAGAGGGAGAATGGGGCGGGGTGATGGAAAGCGGGAGAATGGGGCGGGGTTATGGAAAGAGGGAGAATGGGACGGGGTGATGGAAAGCGGGAGAATGGGGGCGGGGTGATGGAAAGAGGGAGAATGGGGCGGGGTGATGGAATGAGTGAGAATGGGGTGGGGTGATGGAAAGCGGGAGAATGGGGCGAGGTGTTGGAAAGCGGGAGAATGGGGCGGGGTGATGGAAAGCGGGAGAATGGGCGAGGTGATGGAAAGCGAGAGAATGGGGCGGGGTGATGGAAATCGGGAGAACGGGGCGGGGTGATGGAAAGCGGGAGAATAAGGCGGGGTGATGGAAAGCGAGAGAATGGGGCGGGGTGATGGAAAACGGGAGAATGGGACGGGGTGATGGAAAGTGGGAGAATTGGGCGGGGTGATGGAAAGCGGGAGAATTGGGCGGGGTGATGGAAGGAGGGAGAATGGGGCGGGGTCATGGAAGGAGGGAGAATGGGGCGGGGTGATGGAAAGCGGGAGAATGGGGTGGGGTGATGGAAGCGGGAGAATGGGGAGGGGTGATGGAAAGCAGGAGAATGGGGCGGGGAAAGCAGGAGAATGGGGGCGGGTGATGGAAAGCGGGAGAATGGTGTGGGGTGATGGAAGGAGGGAGAATCAGGCGGGGTGATGGAAAGCGGGAGAATGGGGCGGGGTGATAAAAAGGCGGAAAATGGGGCGAGGTGATGGAAAGCGGGAGAATGGGGCGGGGTGATGGGAAGCCGGAGAATGGGGCGGGGTGATGGAAGGAGGGAGAATGGGGACAGGTGATAGAAAGCGGGAGAATGGGGCGGGTTGATGGGAAGCGGGAGAATGGGGCGCGGTTATGGAAAGCTGGAGAATGGGTCGGGGTGAGGGAAAGCGGGAGAATGGGGAGGGGTGATGGAAAGCGGGAGAATGGGGCGGGGTGATGGAAAGCGGGAGAATGGGGCGGGGTGATGGAAAGCGGGAGAATGGGGAGGGGTGATGGAAAGCAGGAGAATGGGGCGGGGTGATGGAAAGCGGGAGAATGGTGTGGGGTGATGGAAGGAGGGAGAATCGGGCGCGGTGATGGAAAGCGGGACAATGTGGCGGGGTGATAAAAAGCGGGAGAATGGGGCGAGGTGATGGAAAGCGGGAGAATGGGGCGGGGTGACGGAAGGAGGGAGAATGGGGCGGGGTGACGGAAGGAGGGAGAATGAGACGGATGATAGAAAGCGGGAGAATGGGGCGGGTTGATGGTAAGCGGGAGAATGGGGCGGGGTGATGGAAAGCTGGAGAATGGGGCGGGGTGAGGGAAAGCGGGAGAATGGGGCGGGATGAAGGAAAGCGGGAGAATGGGGCGGGGTGATGGAAAGCGGGAGAATGGGGCGTGGTGATGGAAAGCGGGAGAATGGGGCGGGGTGATGGAAAGCGGGAGAATGGGGCGGGGTGATGGAAAGCGAAAGAATGGGGCGGGCTGATGTAAAGCGGGAGAACGGGGCGGGGTAATGGAAGGAGGGAGAATGGGGCGGGGTGATGGAAGGAGGGAGAATGGGCGGGGTGATGGAAGGCGGGAGAATGGGGCGGGGGTGATGGAAGGAGGGAGAATGGGGCAAGGTGATGGATAGCGGGGAGAATGGGGCAAGGTGATGGAAAGCGGGAGAATGGGGCAGGGTGATGGAAAGCTGGAGAACGGGGGCAGGGTGATGGAAAGCGGGAGAATGGGGCAGGGTGATGGAAAGCGGGAGAATGGGGTGGGGTGATGGAAAGCGGGAGAATGGGGCGGGGTGATGGAAAGCGGGATAATGGGGCGGGGTAATGGAAGGAGGGAGAATGAGGTGGGGGTGATGGAAGGAGGGAGAATGGGGCGGGGTGATGGAAGGAGGGAGAATGGGGCGGGGTGATTGAAAGCGGGAGAATGGGGTGGGTGATGGAAAGCGGGTGAATGGGGCGGGGTGATGGAAAGCGGAAGAATGGGGCGGGTGATAGAAAGCGGGAGAATGGGGCGAGGTGATGGAAAGCGGGAGAATGCGGCGGGGTGATGGAAAGCGGGAGAATGGGGCGGGTGATGGAAGGAGGGAGAGGTGATGGAAAGCGGGGGAATGGGGCGGGATGATTGGGAAGCGGGAGAATGAGGCGGGGTGATGGAAAGCGGGAGAATGGGGCGGGGTGATGGAAAGCGGGAGAATGGGGCGGGGGTGATGGAAAGCGGGAGAATAGGGCGGGGTGATGGAAAGCGGGAGATTGGGGCGGGGTGATGGAAAGCGGGGGAATGGGGCTGGGTGATGGAAAGCAGGAGAATGGGGCGGGGTGATGGAAAGCGGGAGAATGGGGCGGGGTGATGGAAGGAGGGAGAATGGGGCGGGGTGATGGAAAGCGGGAGATTGGGGCAGGGTGATGGAAAGCGGGAGAATGGGGCGGGGTGATGGAAAGCGGGAAAATGGGGCGGGGTGATGGAAAGCGGGGAATGGGGCTGGGTGATGGAAAGCGGGAGAATGGGGCGAGGTGATGGAAAGCGGGAGAAAGGGGCGGGGTGATGGAAGGAGGGAGAATGAGGCGGGGTGATGGAAAGCGGGAGAATGGGGCGGGGTGATGGAAAGCGGGAGAATGGGGCGGGGTGATGGAAAGCAAGAGAATGGGGCGGGGTGATGGAAGGAGGGAGAATGGGGAGGGGTGATGGAAAGCGGGGGAATGGGGCGGGATGATGGGAAGCGGAAGAATGGGGCGGGTGATGGAAAGCGGGAGAATGGGGCGGGGTGATGGAAAGCGGGAGAATGGGGCGGGGAGATGGAAAGCGGGAGAATGGGGCGGGGTGATGGAAAGCGGGAGAATGGGGCGGGCTGATGGAAAGCGGGAGAATGGGGCGGGGTGATGGAAGGAGGGAGAATGGGGCGGGGTGATGGAAGGAGAGAGAAGGGGGCGGGGTGATGGAAAGTGGGAGAATGTGGCGGGGTGATGGAAAGCGGGAGAAAGGGGCGGGGTGATGGAAAGCGGGAGAATAGGGCGAGGTGATGGAAGGAGGGAGAATGGGGCGGGGTGATAGAAAGCGGGAGAATGTGGCGGGGTGATGGAAAGCGGGAGAATGGGTGGGGTTATGGGAAGCGGGAGAATGGGGCGGGGTGATGGAAAGCGGGAGAATGGGGCGGGGTGATGGAAGGAGGGAGAATGGGGCGGGGTGATGGAAGGAGGGAGAATGGGGCGGGGTGATGGAAAGCGGGAGAATGGGGCGGGGTGATGGAAGGAGGGAGAATGGGGCGGGGTGATGTAAGGAGGGAGAATGGGGTGGGGTGATGGAAAGCGGGAGAATGGGGCGGGGTGATGGAAAGCGGGAGAATGGGGCTGGGTGATGGAAAGCAGGAGAATGGGGCGGGGTGATGGAAAGCGGGAGAATGGGGGCGGGGTGATGGAAGGAGGGAGAATGGGGCGGGGTGATGGAAAGTGGGAGATTGGGGCAGGGTGATGGAAAGCGGGAGAATGGGGCGGGTGATGGAAAGCGGGAAAATGGGGCGGGGTGATGGAAAGCGGGGGAATGGGGCTGGGTGATGGAAAGCGGGAGAATGGGGCGAGGTGATGGAAAGCGGGAGAAAGGGGCGGGGTGATGGAAGGAGGGAGAATGAGGCGGGGTGATAGAAAGCGGGAGAATGTGGCGGGGTGATGGAAAGCGGGAGAATGGGGTGGGGTTATGGGAAGCGGGAGAATGGGGCGGGTGATGGAAAGCGGGAGAATGGGGCGGGGTGATGAAGGAGGGAGAATGGGGCGGGGTGATGGAAGGAGGGAGAATGGGGCAGGGTGATGGAAGGAGAGAGAAGGGGGCGGGGTGATGGAAAGTGGGAGAATGTGGCGGGGTGATGGAAAGCGGGAGAATGGGGCGGGGTGATGGAAAGCGGGAGAATGGGGCGGGGTGATGGAAGGAGGGAGAATGGGGCGGGGTGATAGAAAGCGGGAGAATGTGGCGGGGTGATGGAAAGCAGGAGAATGGGGTGGGGTTATGGGAAGCGGGAGAATGGGCGGGGTGATGGAAAGCGGGAGAATGGGGCGGGGTGATGGAAGGAGGGAGAATGGGGGCGGGGTGATGGAAGGAGGGAGAATGGGGCAGGGTGATGGAAAGCGGGAGAATGGGGCGGGGTGATGGAAGGAGGGAGAATGGGGCGGGGTGATGGAAAGCGGGAGAAAGGGGGCGGCGTGATGGAAGAAGGGAGAATGAGGCGGGGTGATAGAAAGGCGGGAGAATGTGGGCGGGGTGATGGAAAGCGGGAGAATGGGGTGGGGTTATGGGAAGCGGGAGAATGGGGCGGGGTGATGGAAAGCGGGAGAATGGGGCGGGGTGATGGAAGGAGGGAGAATGGGGGTGGGTGGATGGAAGGAGGGAGAATGGGGGCAGGGTGATGGAAGGAGAGAGAAGGGGGCGGGGTGATGGAAAGTGGGAGAATGTGGCGGGGTGATGGAAAGCGGGAGAATGGGGCGGGGTGATGGAAAGCGGGAGAAAGGGCGGGGTGATGGAAGGAGGGAGAATGGGGCGGGGTGATAGAAAGCGGGAGAATGTGGCGGGGTGATGGAAAGCGGGAGAATGGGGTGCGGTTATGGGAAGCGGGAGAATGGGGGCGGGGTGATGGAAAGCGGGAGAATGGGGCGGGGTGATGGAAGGAGGGAGAATGGGGCGGGGTGATGGAAGGAGGGAGAATGGGGCAGGGTGATGGAAAGCGGGAGAATGGGCCGGGGTGATGGAAGGAGGGAGAATGGGGCGGGGTGATGTAAGGAGGGAGAATGGGGTGGCGTGATGGAAAGTGGGAGAATGGGGCGGGTGATGGAAAGCGGGAGAATGGGGCTGGGTGATGGAAAGCAGGAGAATGGGGCGGGGTGATGGAAAGCGGGAGGAATGGGGCGGGGTGATGGAAGGAGGGAGAATGGGGCGGGGTGATGGAAAGCGGGAGAATGGGGCGGGTGATGGAAAGCGGGAGAATGGGCGGGGTGATGGAAAGCAAGAGAATGGGGCGGGGTGATGGAAGGAGGGAGAATGGGGAGGGGTGATGGAAAGCGGGGGAATGGGGCGGGATGATGGGAAGCGGAAGAATGGGGCGGGGTGATGGAAAGCGGGAGAATGGGGCGGGGTGATGGAAAGCGGAAGAATGGGGCGGGAGATGGAAAGCGGGAGAGTGGGGCGGGGTGATGGAAAGCGGGAGAATGGGGCGGGCTGATGGAAAGCGGGAGAATGGGGCGGGGTGATGGAAGGAGGGAGAATGGGGCGGGGTGATGGAAGGAGAGAGAAGGGGGCGGGGTGATGGAAAGTGGGAGAATGTGGCGGGGTGATGGAAAGCGGGAGAATGGGGCGGGGTGATGGAAAGCGGGAGAATGGGGCGGGGTGATGGAAGGAGGGAGAATGGGGCGGGGTGATAGAAAGCGGGAGAATGTGGCGGGGTGATGGAAAGCGGGAGAATGGGGTTGGGTTATGGGAAGCGGGAGAATGGGGCGGGGTGATGGAAAGCGGGAGAATGGGGCGGGGTGAATGGAAGGAGGGAGAATGGGGCGGGGTGATGGAAGGAGGGAGAATGGTGCAGGGTGATGGAAAGCGGGAGAATGGGGAGGGGTGATGGAAGGAGGGAGAATGGGGCGGGGTGATGTAAGGAGGGAGAATGGGGTGGGGTGATGGAAAGTGGGAGAATGGGGCGGGGTGATGGAAAGCGGGAGAATGGGGCTGGGTGATGGAAAGCAGGAGAATGGGGCGGGGTGATGGAAAGCGGGAGAATGGGGCGGGGTGATGGAAGGAGGGAGAATGGGGCGGGGGTGATGGAAAGCGGGAGAATGGGGCGGGTGATGGACAGCGGGAGAATGGGGCGGGGTGATGGAAAGCAAGAGAATGGGGCGGGGTGATGGAAGGAGGGAGAATGGGGAGGGGTGATGGAAAGCGGGGGAATGGGGCGGGATGATGGGAAGCGGAAGAATGGGGCGGGGTGATGGAAAGCGGGAGAATGGGGCGGGGTGATGGAAAGCGGAAGAATGGGGCGGGGAGATGGAAAGCGGGAGAATGGGGCGGGGTGATGGAAAGCGGGGAGAATGGGGCAGGCTGATGGAAAGCGGGAGAATGGGGCGGGGTGATGGAAGGAGGGAGAATGGGGCGGGGTGATGGAAGGAGAGAGAAGGGGGCGGGTGATGGAAAGTGGGAGAATGTGGCGGGGTGATGGAAAGCGGGAGAATGGGGCGGGGTGATGGAAAGCGGGAGAATGGGGCGGGGTGATGGAAGGAGGGAGAATGGGGCGGGGTGATAGAAAGCGGGAGAATGTGGCGGGGGTGATGGAAAGCGGGAGAATGGGGGTGGGGTTATGGAAGCGGGAGAATGGGGCGGGGTGATGGAAAGCGGGAGAATGGGGCGGGGTGATGGAAGGAGGAGAATGGGGCGGGGTGATGGAAGGAGGGAGAATGGGGCGGGGTGATGGAAAGCGGGGCGAAGAATGGGGCGGGGTGATGGAAAGCGGGAGAATGGGGCGGGGTGATGGAAGGAGGGAGAATGGGGCGGGGTGATAGAAAGCGGGAGAATGTGGCGGGGTGATGGAAAGCGGGAGAATGGGGTGGGGTTATGGGAAGCGGGAGAATGGGGCGGGTGATGGAAAGCGGGAGAATGGGGCGGGGTGATGGAAGGAGGGAGAATGGGGCGGGGTGATGGAAGGAGGGAGAATGGGGCGGGGTGATGGAAAGCGGGAGAATGGGGCGGGGTGATGGAAGGAGGGAGAATGGGGCGGGGTGATGTAAGGAGGGAGAATGGGGTGGGGTGATGGAAAGCGGGAGAATGGGGCGGGGTGATGGAAAGCGGGAGAATGGGGCTGGGTGATGGAAAGCAGGAGAATGGGGCGGGGTGATGGAAAGCGGGAGAATGGGGCGGGGTGATGGAAGGAGGGAGAATGGGGCGGGGTGATGGAAAGCGGGAGATTGGGGCAGGGTGATGGAAAGCGGGAGAATGGGGCGGGGTGATGGAAAGCGGGAAAATGGGGCGGGGTGATGGAAAGCGGGAGAATGGGGCTGGGTGATGGAAAGCGGGAGAATGGGGCGAGGTGATGGAAAGCGGGAGAAAGGGGCGGGGTGATGGAAGGAGGGAGAATGAGGCGGGGTGATGGAAGGAGGGAGAATGGGGTGGGGTGATGGAAAGTGGGAGAATGGGTTGGGGTGATGGAAAGCGGGAGAATGGGTCGGAGTGATGGAAAGCGGGAGAATGGGGCGGGGTGATGGAAAGCGGGAGAATGGGGCGGGGTGATGGAAAGCGGGAGAATGGAGCGGGGGTGATGGAAAGCGGGACAATGGGGCGGGTAATGGAAAGCGGGTGAATGGGGCAGGGTGATGGAAAGGCGGGAGAATGAGGCGGGATGATGGAAAGCAAAAGAATGGGGCGGGGTGATGGAAAGCGGGAGAATTGGGCGAGGTGAAGGAAAGCGGGGAGAATGGGGCGGGTGATGGAAAGCGGAAGAATGGGGCGGGGTGATGGAAGGAGGGAGAATGGGGCGGGGTGATGGAAGGAGAGAGAAGGGGGCGGGGTGATGGAAAGTGGGAAAATGTGGCGGGGTGATGGAAAGCGGGAGAAAGGGGTGGGGTTATGGGAAGCGGGAGAATGGGGCGGGGTGATGGAAAGCGGGAGAATGGGGCGGGGTAATGGAATGAGGGAGAATGGGGCGGGGTGATGGAAGAAAGGAGAATGGGGCGGGGTGATGGAAAGCGGGAGAATGGGGCGGGGTGATGGAAGGAGGGAGAATGGGGCGGGGTGATGGAAAGCGGGGAGAATGGGGCGGCGTGATGGAAAGCGGGAGAATGGGGCGGGGTGATGGAAAGCGAGAGAATGGGGTAGGGTGATGGAAGGAGGGAGAATGGGGAGGGGTGATGGAAAGCGGGGGAATGGGGCGGGATGATGGGAAGCGGAAGAATGGGGCGGGGTGATGGAAAGCGGGAGAGAATGGGGCGGGGTGATGGAAAGCGGGGAGAATGGGGCGGCGGGTGATGGAAGGAGGGAGAATGGGGCGGGCTGATGGAAAGCGGGAGAATGGGGCGGAGTGATGGAAAGCGGGAGAATGGGGCGGGGTGATGGAAGGAGGGAGAATGGGGCGGGATGATGGAAAGCGGGAGAATGTGGCGGGGTGATGGAAAGCGGGAGAATGGGGTGGGGTTATGGGAAGCAGGAGATTGGGGCGGGGTGATGGAAAGCGGGAGAATGGGGCGGGGTGATGGAAGGAGGGAGTATGGGGCGGGGTGATGGAAGGAGGGAGAATGGGGCGGAGTGATGGAAAGCGGGAGAATGGGGCGGGGTGATGGAAGGAGGGAGAATGGGGCGGGGTGATGGAAGGAGGGAGAATGGGGCAGGGTGATGGAAGGAGGGAGAATGGGGTGGGGTGATGGAAAGCGGGAGAATGGGGCGGGGTGATGGAAAGCAGAAGAATGGGGCGGGGTGATGGAAAGCGGGAGAATGGGGCGGGGTGATGGAAAGCGGGAGAATGGGGCGGGGTGATGGAAAGCGGGAGAATGGGGCGGGATGATGGAAAGCGGGAGAATGTGGCGGGGTGATGGAAAGCGGGAGAATGGGGTGGGGTTATGGGAAGCAGGAGATTGGGGCGGGGTGATGGAAATCGGGAGAATGGGCGGGGTGATGGAAAGCGGGAGAATGGGGCGGGCTGATGGAAAGCGGGAGAATGGGGCGGGGTGATGGAAGGAGGGAGAATGGGGCGGGGTGATGGAAGGAGAGAGAAGGGGGCGGGGTGATGGAAAGTGGGAGAATGTGGCGGGGTGATGGAAAGCGGGAGACTGGGGCGGGGTGATGGAAAGCGGGAGAATGGGGCGGGGTGATGGAAGGAGGGAGAATGGGGCGGGGTGATAGAAAGCGGGAGAATGTGGCGGGGTGATGGAAAGCGGGAGAATGGGGTGGGGTTATGGAAGCGGGAGAATGGGGCGGGGTGATGGAAAGCGGGAGAATGGGGCGGGGTGATGGAAGGAGGGAGAATGGGGCGGGGTGATGGAAGGAGGGAGAATGGGGCGGGGTGATGGAAAGCGGGAGAATGGGGCGGGGTGATGGAAGGAGGGAGAATGGGGCGGGGTGGATGTAAAGAGGGAGAATGGGGTGGGGTGATGGAAAGCGGGAGAATGGGGCGGGGGTGATGGAAAGCGGGAGAATGGGGCTGGGTGATGGAAAGCAGGAGAATGGGGCGGGGTGATGGAAAGCGGGAGAATGGGGCGGGGTGATGGAAGGAGGGAGAATGGGGCGGGGTGATGGAAAGCGGGAGATTGGGGCAGGGTGATGGAAAGCGGGAGAATGGGGCGGGGTGATGGAAAGCGGGAAAATGGGGCGGGGTGATGGAAAGCGGGATAATGGGGCTGGGTGATGGAAAGCGGGAGAATGGGGCGAGGTGATGGAAAGCGGGAGAAAGGGGCGGGGTGATGGAAGGAGGGAGAATGAGGCGGGGTGATGGAAGGAGGGAGAATGGGGCGGGGTGATGGAAAGTGGGAGAATGGGTTGGGGTGATGGAAAGCGGGAGAATCGGTCGGAGTGATGGAAAGCGGGAGAATGGGGTGGTGTGATGGAAAGCGGGAGAATGGGGCGGGGGTGATGGAAAGCGGGAGAATGGAGCGGGGTGATGGAAAGCGGGACAATGGGGCGGGGTGATGGAAAGCGGGAGAATGGGGCGGGTAATGGAAAGCGGGTGAATGGGGCAGGGTGATGGAAAGCGGGGAGAATGGGGCGGGATGATGGAAAGCAAAAGAATGGGTCGGGGTGATGGAAAGCGGGAGAATTGGGCGAGGTGAAGGAAAGCGGGAGAATGGGGCGGGTGATGGAAAGCGGAAGAATGGGGCGGGGTGATGGAAGGAGGGAGAATGGGGCGGGGTGATGGAAGGAGAGAGAAGGGGGGCGGGGTGATGGAAAGTGGGAAAATGTGGCGGGGTGATGGAAAGCGGGAGAATGGGGAGGGGTGATGGAAAGCGGGGGAATGGGGCGGGATGATGGGAAGCGGAAGAATGGGGCGGGTTGATGGAAAGCGGGAGAATGGGCGGGGTGATGGAAAGCGGGAGAATGGGGCGGGGTGATGGAAAGCGGGAGAATGGGGCGGGGTGATGGAAAGCGGGAGAATGGGGCGGGGTGATGGAAAGCGGGAGAATGGGGCGGGGTGATGGAAGGAGGGAGAATGGGGCGGGCTGATGGAAAGCGGGAGAATGGGGCGGAGTGATGGAAAGCGGGGAGAATGGGGCGGGGTGATGGAAGGAGGGAGAATGGGGCGGGATGATGGAAAGCGGGAGAATGTGGCGGGGTGATGGAAAGCGGGAGAATGGGGTGGGGTTATGGGAAGCAGGAGATTGGGGCGGGGTGATGGAAAGCGGGAGAATGGGGCGGGGTGATGGAAGGAGGGAGAATGGGGCGGGGTGATGGAAGGAGGGAGAATGGGGCGGAGTGATGGAAAGCGGGAGAATGGGGCGGGGTGATGGAAGGAGGGAGAATGGGGCGGGATGATGGAAAGTGGGAGAATGGGGCGGGGTGATGGAAATCGGGAGAATGGGGCAGGGTGGTGGAAAGCGGGAGAATGGGGCGGGGTGATAGAAGGAGGGAGAATGGGGCGGGGGTGATAGAAAGCGGGAGAATGTGGTGGGGTGATGGAAAGCGGGAGAATGGGGCGGGGTGATGGAAGGAGGGAGAATGGGGCAGGGTGATGGAAGGAGGGAGAATGGGGTGGGGTGATGGAAAGCGGGAGAATGGGGCGGGGTGATGGAAAGCAGAAGAATGGGGCGGGGTGATGGAAAGCGGGAGAATGGGGCGAGGTGATGGAAAGCGGGAGAATGGGGCGGGTGATGGAAAGCGGAAGAATGGGGCGGGGTGATGGAAGGAGGGAGAATGGGGCGGGATGATGGAAAGCGGGAGAATCGGGCGGGGAGATGGAAAGCAGGAGAAAGGGGCGGGATGATGGAAAGCGGGAGAATGGGGCGGGCTGATGGAAAGCGGGAGAATGGGGCGGGGTGATGGAAGGAGGGAGAATGGGGCGGGGTGATGGAAGGAGAGAGAAGGGGGCGGGGTGATGGAAAGCAGGAGAATGGGGTGGGGTTATGGAAGCGGGAGAATGGGGCTGGGTGATGGAAAGCGGGAGAATGGGGCGGGGTGATGGAATGAGGGAGAATGGGGCGAGGTGATGGAAGGAGGGAGAATGGGGCGGGGTGATGGAAAGCGGGAGAATGGGGCGGGGTGATGGAAGGAGGGAGAATGGGGCGGGGTGATGGAAAGCGGGAGAATGGGGCGGCGTGATGGAAAGCGGGAGAATGGGGCGGGGTGGATGGAAAGCGAGAGAATGGGGCGGGGTGATTGAAGGAGGGAGAATGGGGAGGGGTGATGGAAAGCGGGGGAATGGGGCGAGATGATGGGAAGCGGAAGAATGGGGCGGGGTGATGGAAAGCGGGAGAATGAGGCGGGAGATGGAAAGCGGGAGAAAGGGGAGGGGTGATGGAAAGCGGGAAAATGGGGCGGGGTGATGGAAGGAGGGAGAATGGGGAGGGGTGATCGAAGGAGAGAGAAGGGGGCGTGGTGATGGAAAGTGGGAGAATGTGGCGGGGTGATGGAAAGCGGGAGAATGGGGTGGGGTTATGGGAAGTGGGAGAATGAGGCGGGGTGATGGAAAGCAGGAGAATGGGGCGGGGTGATGGAAGGAGGGAGAATGGGGCGGGGTGATGGAAGGAGGGATAATGGGGCAGAGTGATGGAAAGCGGGGAAAATGGGGCGGGGTGATGGAAAGCGGGAGAATGGGTAGGGGTGATGGAAAGCGAGGAGAATCGGCGGGGTGATGGAAGGAGGGAGAATGGGGAGGGGTGATGGAAAGCGGGGGAATGGGGCAGAATGATGGGAAGCGGAAGAATGGAGCGGGGTGATGGAAGGAGGGAGAATGGGGCGGGATGATGGAAAGCGGGAGAATGGGGCGGGGTGATGGAAAGCGGGAGAACGGGGCGGGGTGATGGAAATCGGGAGGAATGGGGCGGGGTGATGGAAAGCGGGAGAATGGGCGGGGTGATGGAAGGAGGGAGAATAGGGCGGGGGTGATAGAAAGCGGGAGAATGTGGCGGGGTGATGGAAAGCGGGGAGAATGGGGTCAGGTTATGGGAAGCGGGAGAATGGGGCGGGGTGATGGAAAGCGGGAGAATGGGGCGGGGTGATGGAAGGAGGTGAGAATGGGGCGGGGAGATGGAAGGAGGGAGAATGGGGCGGAGTGATGGAAAGGGGGGAGAATGGGGCGGGGTGATGGAAGGTGGAAGAATGGGGCGGGGTGATGGAAGGAGGGAGAATGGGGCGGGATGATGGAAAGCGGGAGAATGTGGCGGGTTTGATGGAAGGAGGGAGAATGGGGCGGGGTGATGGAAAGCGGGGAGAATGGGGCTGGGGTGGTGGAATGCGGGAGAATGGGGCGGGATGACGGAAAGCGGGAGAATGGGGCGGGGTGATGGAAAGCGGGAGGAATGGGGCGGGGTGATGGGAAGGAGGGAGAATTGGGTGGGGTGATGGAAAGAGGGAGACTGGCGCAGGGTGATGGAAAGAGGGAGAATGGGGCGGGGTGATGGAAAGCGGGAGAATGGGGGCGGGGTGACGGAAAGCGGGAGAATGGGGCGGGGTGATGGAAAGTGGGAGAATTGAGCGGGGTGATGAAATAGGGAGAATGGGCCGGGGTGATGGAAAGCGGGAGAATGGGCGGGGTGGTGGAAAGAAGGAGAATGGGGCGGGTGTGATGAAAAGAGGGAGAATGGGACGGGGTGATGGAAAGCGGGAGAATGGGGCGGGGTGATGAAAGCGGGAGAATAGGGCGGGGTGATGGAAAGCGGGAGAATGGGGCCGGGGTGATGGAAGGCGGGAGATGGGGGCGGGGTGATGGAAAGTGGGAGAATGGAGCGGGGTGATGGAAAGCGGGAGAATGGGGCGGGGTGATGGAGAGCGGGAGCGGGCTGGTAGAAAGCGGGTGAATGGGGCCGGGTGATGGAAAGCGGGAGAATGGGGCGGGGTGATGGAAAGCAAAAGAATGGGGCGGGGTGATGGAAAGCGGTGAGAATGGGGCGAGGTGACGGAAAGCCGGGAGAATGGGGCGGGTGATGGAAAGCGGAAGAATGGGGCGGGGTGATGGAAGGAGGGAGAATGGGGAGGGGTGATGGAAAGCGGTGGAATGGGGCGGGATGATGGGAAGCGGAAGAATGGGGCTGGCTGATGGAAAGCGGGAGAATGGGGCGGGGTGATGGAAAGCGGGAGAATGGGGCGGGAATATGGAAAGCGGGAGAAAGGGGCGGGGTGATGGAAAGCGGGAGAATGGGGCGGGCTGATGGAAAGCGGGAGAATGGGGCGGGGTGATGGAAGGAGGGAGAATGGGGCGGGGTGATGGAAGGAGAGAGAAGGGGCGGGGTGATGGAAAGTGGGAAAATGTGGCGGGGTGATGGAAAGCGGGAGAATGGGGAGGGGTTATGGGAAAGCGGGAGAATGGGGCGGGGTGATGGAAAGCGGGAGAATGGGGCGTGGTGATGGAATGAGGGAGAATGGGGCGGGGTGATGGAAGAGGGAGAATGGGGCGGGGTGATGGAAAGCGGGAGAATGGGGCGGGGTGATGGAAAGGAGGGAGAATGGGGCGGGGTGATGGAAAGCGGGAGAATGGGGGCGGCGTGATGGAAAGCGGGAGAATGGGGGCGGGGTGATGGAAAGCGAGAGAATGGGGCGGGGTGATGGAAGGAGGGAGAATGGGGAGGGGTGATGGAAAGCGGGGGAAATGGGGCGAGATGATGGGAAGCGGAAGAATGGGGCGGGGTGATGGAAAGCGGGAGAATGGGGCGGGTGATGGAAAGCGGGAGAATGGGGCGGGGAGATGGAAAGCAGGAGAAAGGGGAGGGGTGATGGAAAGCGGGAGAATGGGGCGGGCTGATGGAAAGCGGGAGAATGGGCGGGGTGATGGAAGGAGGGAGAATGGGGCGGGGTGATGGAAGGAGAGAGAAGGGGGCGGGGGGTGATGGAAAGTGGGAGAATGGTGGCGGGGTGATGGAAAGCAGGAGAATGGGGTGGGGTTATGGGAAGCGGGAGGAATGAGGCGGGGTGATGGAAAGCGAGAGAATGGGGCAGGGTGATGGAAGGAGGGAGAATGGGTCGGGGTGATGGAAGGAGGGATAATGGGGCGGAGTGATGGAAAGCGGGAAAATGGGGCGGGGTGATGGAAAAAGGGAGAATGGGGCGGGGTGATGGAAAGCGAGAGAATGGGGCGGGGTGATGGAAGGAGGGAGAATGGGGAGGGGTGATGGAAAGCGGGGGAATGGGGCGGGATGATGGGAAGCGGAAGAATGGGGCGGGGTGATGGAAGGAGGGAGAATGGGGCGGGAAGATGGAAAGCGGGAGAATGGGGCGGGTGGTGATGGAAAGCGGGAGAATGGGGCGGGGTGATGGAAAGCGGGAGAATGGGGCGGGGGTGATGGAAATCGGGAGAATGGGGCGGGGTTATGGAAGGAGGGAGAATGGGGCATGGTGATAGAAAGCGGGAGAATGTGGCGGGGTGATGGAAAGCGGGAGAATGGGGTGGGGTTATGGGAAGCGGGAGAATGGGGCGGGTGTGATGGAAAGCGGGAGAATGGGGCGGGGTGATGGAAGGAGGGAGAATGGGGCGGGGTGATGGAAGGAGGGAGAATGGGGCGGGGTGATGGAAAGCGGGAGAGAATGGGGCCGGGGTGATGGAAGGAGGGAGAATGGGGCGGGGTGATGGAAGGAGGGAGAATGGGGTGGGGTGATGGGAAAGCGGGAGAATGGGGCGGGGTGATGGAAAGCGGGAGAATGGGGCGGGGTGATGGAAAGCGAGAGAATGGGGCGGGGTGATGGAAGGAGGGAGAACGGGGAGGGGTGATGGAAAGCGGGGGAATGGGGCGAGATGATGGGAAGCGGAAGAATGGGGCGGGGTGATGGAAAGTGGGAGAATGGGGCGGGAGATGGAAAGCGGGAGAAAGGGGAGGGGTGATGGAAAGCGGGAGGAATGGGGCGGGCTGATGGAAAGCGGGAGAATGGGGCGGGGGTGATGGAAGGAGGGAGAATGGGGCGGGGTGATGGAAGGAGAGAGAAGGGGGCGGGGTGATGGAAAGTGGAGAATGTGGCGGGGTGATGGAAAGCGGGAGAATGGGGGTGGGGTTATGGGAAGCGGGAGAATGAGGCGAGGTGATGGAAAGCGGGAGAATGGGGCGGGGTGATGGAAGGAGGGAGAATGGGGCGGGGTGATGGAAAGAGGGATAATGGGGCGGAGTGATGGAAAGCGGGAAAATGCGGCGGGGTGATGGAAAGCGGGAGAATGGGGCGGGGGTGATGGAAAGCGAGAGAATGGGGCGGGGTGATGGAAGGAGGGAGAATGGGGAGGGGTGATGGAAAAGCGGGGGAATTGGGCGTGATGATGGGAAGCGGAAGAATGGGGCGGGGTGATGGAAGGAGGGAGAATGGGGCGGGGTGATGGAAAGCGGGAGAATGGGGGCGGGGTGATGGAAAGAGGGGAAAATGGGGCGAGGTGATGGAAAGCGGGAGAATGGGGTGGTGTGATGGAAAGCGGGAGAATGGGGCGGTGTGATGGAAAGAGGGAGAATGGGGCGGGGTGATGGAAAGCGGGAGAATGGGGCGGGTGGTGATGGAAAGAGGGAGAATGGGGCGGGTTGATGGAAGGCGGGAGAATGGGGCGGGGTGATGCAAATCGGGAGAATGGGGCGGGGTGATGCAAATCGGGAGAATGGGGTGGGGTGATGGAAAGAGGGAGAATGGGGCGGGGTGATGGAAAGCGGGAGAATGGGGCGGGGTGATGGAAAGCGGGGAGAATGGGGCGGGGCGATGGAAAGCTGGAGAACGGGGCGGGGTGATGGAAAGTGGGAGAATGTGGCGGGGTGATGGAAAGCGGGAGAATGGGGCGGGGTGATGGGAAAGCGGGAGAATGGGGCGGGGTGATAGAAAGCGGGAGAATGTGGCGGGGTGATGGAAAGCGGGAGAATGGGGTGGGGTTATGGGAAGCGGGAGAATGGGGGCGGGGTGATGGAAAGCGGGAGAATGGGGCGGGGGTGATGGAAGGAGGGAGAATGGGGCGGGTGATGGAAGGAGGGAGAATGGGGCAGGGTGATGAAAGCGGGAGAATGGGGCGGGGTGATGGAAGGAGGGAGAATGGGCGGGGTGATGTAAGGAGGGGAGAATGGGGTGGGGTGATGGAAAGCGGGAGAATGGGGCGGGGTGATGGAAAGCGGGAGAATGGGGCTGGGTGATGGAAAGCAGGAGAATGGGGCGGGGTGATGGAAAGCGGGGAGAATGGGGCGGGGTGATGGAAGGAGGGAGAATGGGGCGGGGTGATGAAAGCGGGAGATTGGGGCAGGGTGATGGAAAGCGGGAGAATGGGGCGGGGTGATGAAAGCGGGAAAATGGGGCGGGGTGATGGAAAGCAGAGAGAATGGGGCTGGGTGATGGAAAAGCGGGAGAATGGGGGCGAGGTGATGGAAAGCGGGAGAAAGGGGCGGGGTGATGGAAGGAGGGGAGAATGAGGCGGGGTGATGGAAGGAGGGAGAATGGGGGCGGGGTGATGGAAAGTGGGAGAATGGGTTGGGTGATGGAAAGCGGGAGAATGGGTCGGAGTGATGGAAAGCGGGAGAATGGGGCGGGGTGATGGAAAGCGGGAGAATGGGGCGGGGTGATGGAAAGCGGGAGAATGGAGCGGGGTGATGGAAAGCGGGGACAATGGGGCGGGGTGATGGAAAGCGGGAGAATGGGGCGGGTAATGGAAAGCGGGTGAATGGGGCAGGGTGATGGAAAGCGGGAGAATGGGGCGGGATGATGGAAAGCAAATGAATGGGGCGGGGTGATGGAAAGCGGGGAGAATTGGGCGAGGTGAAGGAAAGCGGGAGAATGGGGCGGGTGATGGAAAGCGGAAGAATGGGGCCGGGGTGATGAAGGAGGGAGAATGGGGCGGGGTGATGGAAGGAGAGAGAAGGGGGCGGGGTGATGGAAAGTGGGAAAATGTGGCGGGGTGATGGAAAGCGGGAGAATGGGGTGGGGTTATGGGAAGCGGGGAGAATGGGGCGGGGTGATGGAAAGCGGAGAATGGGGCGGGGTAATGGAATGAGGGAGAATGGGGCGGGGTGATGGAAGAAAGGAGAATGGGGCGGGGTGATGGAAAGCGGGAGAATGGGGCGGGGTGATGGAAGGAGGGAGAATGGGGCGGGGTGATGGAAAGCGGGAGAATGGGGCGGCGTGATGGGAAAGCGGGAGAATGGGGCGGGGTGATGGAAAGCGAGAGAATGGGGTAGGGTGATGGAAGAGGGAGAATGGGGAGGGGTGATGGAAAGCGGGGGAATGGGGCGGGATGATGGGAAGCGGAAGAATGGGGCGGGGTGATGGAAAGCGTGGAGAAGGGGCGGGGTGATGGAAAGCGGGAGAATGGGGTGGGGTGATGGAAAGCGGGAGAATGGGGCGGGGTGATGGAAAGCGGGGAGAATGGGGCGGGGGTGATGGAAAGCAGGAGAATGGGGCGGGGTGATGGAAGGAGGGAGAATGGGGCGGGCTGATGGAAAGCGGGAGAATGGGGCCGGAGTGATGGAAAGCGGGAGAATGGGGCGGGGTGATGGAAGGAG